ATGTTATTTATCTAACATTTTAATTAGTTTTTGGAATTCTTAACCCAAGGTCTGCTTAAAATTATCAAATCTACTTGCCCATAACATCTCTAATCCTTAGCTCGCCAAAAATAATGCCCTATGCAAACAAATTTGTCTATTCCCATATAGAAAACCAAAAATATGTTGAAGTCCTAAAAAAATAATGTTGTAATCTATCTAATTCTACTTGAATTGGACAAATATGTGCTTACATTATGAAAATTATTTATGTAGAAGGCTTCGTTTGGGACAGCTTTCGTAATGCTTTCTAAAATAGCATTCTAATATTAAAATTTTTGAACTAAAAATTTTTGTACCCAAAAACTACTTTTGAAAACTATAAAAAAATTGTCCCAAACGAAACTTATACTTACATCAATTTTTAAAAAGGTAATAATCATTCATAAAAACATTAAAAAAATGAATAAGATTATTGTTTGGATCATAAAAACCTTAGTATAATTAATTAGTCAATACATTCTATCATTCAAAATCATAGAAAAAAATCAATTATAAATATCATCAACAACATAAAAAAGCCTATAAGCATTAAAAAGCTCAACTATTTTCTCAATTAGGAGTATCCATCAACATGTCAATAGTAATCAAATCCTAACAGAAGTCCAGTGGCAAATTGGACAATTGTGGCAGAAGGAAGTCGTTGTCTTTCAAATACGAATGGGCTCCCTCACGAGCAGCTACCACATCATAATTTCCTTGGGCCTGATCCAGTGGCTGCATATGAGCCTTATGAATTGTAATACGTGCTTGAATGACTGCTAATTCATTCTGGGCCGTTGTAATTTGATTCTGCAAACGGGCAATTATTTCCGTGCAGCCGTAGATTGGGTTCTGGACGCGCCAATGGGCTTCCGTGGCGATTGCATCTGCTGCCTGGGCCCGTTCATGGGCCGGAAGTTGCTGCACTAAGTTGAAATAGATAAGTAACACTAAAATGGATTTATATATGAGAACTGCTGATTTATTTTCCCTGAAAAGAGTTATTTGAATTTAATATATAGAGCTATTTTAATATATAATCCATCAATATAAGGTACTAATATCGACCTTAGCTAAATATTTCAAATAAAAATCAGAATAATAATATTTAAAAAAATTGCATAAATCATTATCAACTTTTCATCAAAAATTTCCTACCAAAACATGATTAAAATTATTATTTGTTAAAAACTTTTAATTGATATCCATTTTTTAAAATTATGGCTGATTTTTCTAATATTCCAATGGCCAACTTTTTAAAAATAATAAAATAATTAGGAATATTTATTTTTATATATTGAATAAAAACTAAAATCTTTATTTGAAGAAATAATATTTACAAGTAATTAAAATATTTATTTGAAGTTTTTCATTTGAACGGCTTTGTTATTGTTTTTTAAAATAATTTTTTAGTATAAAAATTATAATTAAAAAAAAATAGTATTAAAAGGTAAGCAATAGTAAGAAATTTCAATGAGTGAAATTATTACGTGCAGTCACTAGACGCTATCCGAAGGCGAATCAGGAGACGCCATGTCACTTTTTTGTTGTGTATCGATATTGTGTACTAATGTGTACCGGGTGTCATGGCGTATCATGATTCGCCTCCGGATAGTCCGGTAACCGCATATAATAATTTCTCATCAAACGAAGCCTAATATTCAATACTTTTGATGAGAATATTATTTTGAATAAGACAGTAGAAGCAAGATTACCTGGAGCATTCTGGCGACATTACTGGCCCCAAAGATCTTATGAACAAAAGCAAACCTATCAGGTTGAGAATGGTGGAAATAGGGAGCCAAAATACAATCTTCTGAGCATCTTCTTCTCAAGAACTTGCAAGCAGCGCATCTCCTTCCGCCATTAATGCTAATACTGGATTTGAAGTACGTATTTGTAGAGGAGAATGAGCCACCCGACATAATTATCTTTGAATTCGACTTCGGATATTTCAAAATCTTAAGAGGATATTACAGAAATCTGATTCGGGGAAGAAGAAGATTTTCTCTGGATTTCTTCCCTTTGGAGAATGATAAGACTGATATATAGGGAGAGGATTGCTTGAATGGAGAGCCTAACGGCTAGTTGATTATTTGAATTTATGTTGTTTAGGGTTTAGGAGAGGAGAGGAATGGAAGGTTTTTGGATTAATTTCTATATAGAAATTTATTTCTGTGTAAATTAAGAAAAAGAAAATTATTTCCAAGCCCGGCTCTTGCCTTACTTGGCGAAGCCTCTCAACTTCTGATGAGGTTGATGAAGACAAGATGGCGTAGGTGGGACAAACGGATTTCATCCTATCAGAGTAGGGCTGCAAGCGAACCAAACGTTCGATGATCTACTCCAGGGGCGGAACTGTTCACCCGTTAGGGGGGGGCAATTGCCCCCCCTTAAAAAAAAAAAATTTATTAGAGAGGGGCATTTTAGTAATTTGACTCATAAAATTGTTATTTTGTCCCCCCTTTGCCCTAACCCGTCGTATTCCACAAACAAAACACGACGCCTCACGCCAGGATTCAGGAAGCATCGCCTCTTCGGTGATTCTCGTCATCGCCATCGCGTGGGACGGTGGGAGCCTGCTTTCTGCTTCGAATTTTCGGTGATTCGCCGCTCGCACAAGAGAGGAACGGGAACCGGTCATCTGGCTTCGTGAATCACAGGGCTTCGTTGTCGGCAGGATCCCTTCGTATATATATATATATATATATATATATATTATAACATAATGATATAATTATTTTAATTAATAAAATTTAAATTAATTAAATGTTATAATATATCTTGTAGTTTTAATTTCTTTACCATTGCTAATTTATTATATTACATCATTAGATCTTGCTCATTTTATAGCTCAAGAATACTCGTTAGATTTGTTCATGAGCATGCTTGTTTGATGTTTAAAAAAATTCGTTAAATATGTTCACGAACAGAGCTCGTTAAGGCTTGTTTGTTTAAAGCTTGATAAGCACTAAACGAACCGAACACAAACCAAACATGAACCAAACATGAACACCATTAATTTAAACGAATCAAACATGAACACAAATAATAAAGCTTGAATCAAACAAGAACCGAACTTGAACAAGCTAATAATAAACAAACACAAACATGAACACTTACATACTCAGCTCTGCTCAGTTCGTTTGCAGCCCTGTATCAGAGGGTGGTATTTTAGCACCATGGGCTGAACTGCTTAAAATAGTTCTCAACTTAATCGCCACCTTGGTTTGTAGGGACTTGGGGTGCAAATGAGTTGAGTCGAGTTTGAGTGAAGGGGTATTCGAGCCGAGCTCTGCTGTCAAATACTGAGCTCGAACTCAAGTCGAGCTCGAGCTCAACTCAACAGAGGAAAAAAAAATTATAATAAGGTCGTCGAGCTGCTCGAGCAACAATTCGAGCTCAGTGCGTCTGTCGTAGTCAGGTTCTCACGTCGCAAGCATCCATTTGTCGCCGCCAGCTTCTCGTCGTCGCTAGCTTCTCTTCAACCAGAGACGCCAGCTTCTGCTGCGTCATCGCCAAGATAGCTTCTCCGCATCGTGACGACTTGTCACCAGCTTGCGTCCGCCCGTCGTGCCAGGTTTTCGCTCGCTAGCATTCGCATGATTCCGTTTTCTCGCTGGCCATTTCAATTTCCCGCGCGATTGTATTTTTTCATTAACGATTTCATTCGCGAGCTACTCGACAAGCTCGCAAGCCGAGCAGTGGCCAGTTTTGAGCTCGAGATCAAAATCCTATTCGAGCTCTACTCGCGAGCTCAATAACTTGACTCATTGAGCCTATTGCCTAGCCGAGCTCAAATTAGCTCGCGAGCCGGTTTGACTCGGTTGCACCTCTAGTCGGGGCTTTGACTAATTTAAAGATTTTGGGTTCATATATAAATTAAATTTAATTTAATGACTAAAAAAAATAGAATCCCCACAGGCTCCCTACTGTCGAATAAAGGCGTGCCATTTAGAAGGAATTGGCCCCCAAGTACTAAACAAAAATAAAGAAAATAAAACATATAAACTTTATTTAAATACTCTAATATAAAACAAGCCAATCAAGTCATCGCAATTTTTTTCTCTCACTCAAATTTATATGAACTCTCGTCGTTTGAAGTGCACATGAATGAATACCCTCTTATAAAGAAGGCATTATTATTATTATTATTACTAATAAAAAATGTTAATGTTGAAATATAGTTTTTTGTGCGGACGAGATTCGATCTTAGATCTTAATAATATCTTTATGATTTTTTTTATCAAATAAACTAAGCCGAATTTAGAATTTACTATTTATTTAAGAGTGATTTACATAAGAAGTTTTGTTTAATATGCCCTGTGATACTTGAAATCATACGTTATTTTATTTCTTGAGGAATATGCTAAAATTTTTTCTTCAAATCAAAATCCTCCCCCCTTTCATCACCATAAGATATTTTTCAACAACAAAAACAAAAACATCAAGCCTTTGTCTCTACACGATCGTTGTCAGGTCTCAACTCCCAAATGAAAAAAAAAATAAAGTCAAAACCAGCGTAAAACTTATGAAATAATCATGAAATATTTTTCAATAACCAAATTTTATTTATAATCGGACATTCTCCAAATCACTGTCATCTACTCTTATTTAAAAAAAAATTAAAATAATGTTCGAATAAAGTTTTAATGATGCTTCAATAAATTCAATAAAAATTATTAAAAATTTGGATAAAATATTTAAATTAAATGTTCAAATAATATCTTTTCAATTTTCACATAAAGTTCAAACTTATTAGACATAATAGTATATCAGAATATAAACATAACAATAAATTATAAAGTAAACATAACAAATGATAAAATTTAATGAGAAATCTTTACATTCAATTAAAACAGTTATAATATTTAACAACAGCCATAACATAATTCTAACTTTTCTACTTAGCAGTTTTTTAATATAAAATTTTTAAAATTAAAAAATATATATATATATACTAAAAAATAGTAATAAAATTGTTCCAAATATGAAGCCAAAGTTTACATCCAATAAAATAAAAATTCATCAAAATACAAATTATATGTTCACAACACCTCCACTACTCATTTCAACATCAATAATCTTATAATCCATATAGAATTACAGGGCTAGCTAAAATATGATACCAATAGCTGTAGAAGCCAAGAACATGTTGCAGCTGCGGTGAACTTTTTCAAGAGCTATTTCAACCAGACTCGATCTCTTCATATATTTTTTCAACTAATAAGACTTAATCTAAACTAACAAAAACTAAGAAGAATAATAATACCATGACGCCGAATGAAATGAGATTCAGATCATCATTCCAACTCTGAAATCTCCATTTCTTATCTCATTTAGTAGCCATAACCTGGTAATGAACATTAGAGTTTAGAATATATTGAGATTACTGTGGATAATAGATAGATCATTGTAGAGATTGAAAGGGAACAAACCTGAATTGTCCATTGGGTTGCCGGCCGGAGCTGGCTCGGGCTCCTTGATGTCGACCACCACCACGTCGGAGGTCAGGAATGTCTTTGCGACGGATGATGCATGTTCCAAGCAGCACCTCACAACCTAATCAGAAGAGAAGCATAAGGCAGTGTTCTTTTTTCATGGTGGGGGGTACTTTTTGAGTAGGCAAACTCACAAATACATGTTAGGCCAGCCGGCCCAAGAGGGGCCAGCTGTCCCTACTGAACCGGTCCCTAGTGGACCGGTTTTATACTACAACCGCCGGCCCAAGGAAGGGAGAGGGAAGGGGTCTGCTGCTACTATGAGGCCCACATCTTGATTAATAATTGATTTGAAAAGAAATATTTGAATGAGGGGCTGTTAAAGGATTTTGTATTTCATCTGGAGTTTGAATCAAATTTGAGATTTATGGGGGTTTAGGCCCTAGGCTTGGCTAAAGATTTGGAAAGATGTTTCCTCTCGAATTGAAGAAAATTATATCGTTTATTATTTTCCTTGTAAGTGGATTGAATAGAAGAAGTTTGATTGTATTCTTCTATACAATTTCCTGAAAATTCTGCATTGTAATGCTGATTTCTCTCTGATATAAGCAATTTTCTCTACTGTTAGGTTTGCTTGCAAACTCACGTATTTCCCTTAGGACTATCAATACATTGCATATACAAGCTTCAAGCAAAAAAAATTCTTAATTGTTAGACAAAGCTCCCAACAAACCGATCAAAATATGCTGCTGCATGGTGGAGGCGGTGTAAGACAGAATCAGAACAAACGGAGGCGGAGCTAAGCATGGGAAAAATAAGCTTTGACACCTTCAGGATATTCCTAATACTTCAAAATTTTATTTGTGCTTCTTGCTTCCAAAAAAGTTTAAATGCATGAAAACTGAATACAATAACTTTCTGATACTTCCAACTAAACAGTCCCTTAATTCATACACGGAAACAATAAATCCCAAAACCACAGAGCCCAAATAATCGATCCAATGCGGTAAAAAATTAGGAAAAGCTCCTGAACAGTACTAGTTGCAGAAACCAATAAAAACCAAGTTCAAAATTAGAATATTAACCACCATTTATCTTGTAAGAAGGAAGATTCGATGCAAGCTAAGAATAAAAAATAAAAAAGAACGAACCTTAGTGGGATCAATAATTCCTGCAGCCATCAAATCCTCATACTTTCCGGTAGCAGCATTGTAGCCATACTTGGGATTGTCGTTAGAAAGCACCTGAACCAAAAGAACACCAGAAAATCATTGAAACTTGCACAGAAGCACATAATCATTCTCAAGACCATATCAAACCAATTTCGGGAAGTCCATACTTTCTCAACCACAACACTTCCATTCACACCAGCATTTTTTGCAATCAATTTAATAGGATAGCTCAGGGCTCTCTTAACAATATCTGCTCCAACCTAATCCAATGCAGCTTTGAGGTTAGTTATTTGTCATGGGATGAATATAATAACATGTTATAAACATTTGCTTCCGTAACTGATAATTTTTTTTTTCAATAACAGCATGTGAAGCTAGTAAGCCAACTGACCTTCTGCTCTTCATTTTCAAGAGTTTCCTTAATTGCGTCAACCTTTGAAGCTAGCCTCAGGAGGGTACAGCCACCACCAACAACAATACCTTCCTCAACTGCAGCCTGCATATGGATGCAGAATCTATAATTAGTTTGATAAATTCAAAGCTTTTGCAAGCAACCCAGAAACGTAGTTCAAAATTTAGCCAACTACCTTAGTCGCATTCAGGGCATCTTCAACTCTCAACTTCTTCTCTTTGAGCTCCGTCTCTGTTTGTGCTCCAACCTTTCAAACATGCAAAGATTTTAGTAATGGAAAAAAGAAAAAAAAAAGTTAAAATGAAAAGACAACAGTAGGAAGTTTTGGTTACCTGAATGACCGCAACACCACCAGAAAGTTTGGCAATCCTCTCGTTCAGTTTCTCTTTCTCATAATCCTGTTCAGCTACCTGGAAATTTGACAGAAATTTCTTATGCCTCAAGTAAGAATAAGAACATTAAATGAAAAGATAAGACAGGGAGGAGATGAACCTCAATCAAGTTTCTAATTTGTGAAACTCGCTTATTTACTGCTTCCTGTGTGCTCCCATCACCTACTATGGTCGTTGAATCTTTGGTTAGCACAACCTTTGCAGCAGTACCCAACACCTCTTTTTCAGCTTTATCCAGTGTAAGGCCAACCTCATCTCTTATGACAGTTGCTGCAAGAAAAATGAACATTTAGGATTCACGTAAGAACTACGATGGAGTAATGCGGCTGGAAGAAAACAGAAAAATATAAGTATAATAATTCAGGTAACCTCCAGTAAGGATTGCAATGTCATCAAGGTATTGACTTTTGCGCTCTCCAAATCCAGGAGCTTTTAGAGCAGCAATCTTCAAAGCACCTCTTAGCTTGTTTACAACGAGAGTTGCCAGAGCTTCCTGTTCAATATCTTCTGCAATTATAACGATAGGATATCCCCCTCTAATTGCATCCTCGAGGACATTGATCAAATCTCTTGCATTTGTAACTTTCTTGTCAACAAGAAGCAGCTGGAAAGGCCAGAGTTTACGTTAAGGTCCTGTAGGATTATAACTGAAAAGATAGTACTATAGTCTTCATGAAATAACAACCTTGCAATTCTCATATTCAACAGACATCTTCTCACTGTCCGTTACAAAATAAGGAGAGATATAGCCACGATCAAATTGCATTCCTTCCACAACATAGAGGCTATTCTCTGCACTTTTGCCCTCTTCAAGTGTCACCACACCCTTCCTTCCCACTTTGCTCATAGCCTCAGCTATCATGTTTCCAATTTCATAGTTGTTTCCAGCACTCACTGCAGCAACATCAGCAAGTTCACTGTCTTCAACCTACAACAGGATATAATAGAATAATCTTTAATTTGTTACCATTCTGTATTACTTATAAAAGATTTTATAATGTAACCTTAAATTATAATTGTCTTGCATATCAAGAAAAGTTAGCTGAATTAGAACATTAGTACAATAATTTTAACACATGTTTCAAACCTATGAAAATACCTCTTTGGAGATTAGTTTGAGTTCAGATACTAGAGCTTTTGAAGTTTTTTCTATTCCTCTAGTGATTTGAACAGGATTGGCACCTGCTGCAACCACCTGATGTAATAATGGTCCAAATGGAAGTATATTAGTTGCATCAATATAGCAAAACTAATGAAGAGAGGAGACAAATAATTAGTTTCCAGACCTTAACGCCTTCAGCAATTAAACCTTGAGCCAGGACTACAGAAGTTGTGGTACCATCACCAGCAAGGTCATTAGTTTTAGAAGCAGCTTGCCTGACCAGCTTAGCACCAATGTTTTCAACCGGGTCTTCCAACTCAACCTAATATCATTAAATAAGCAGGATGCCTATTTTAGCATACATAGATAAAAGATTACCAAATGGGGCCTGCAAGTAAACTATATTAGCTTGCGATCAACTGGAAAATAAGTTAAGATAAATTCAATCCTTTAAAGATTATATACAATGGAAAAGTTATAACAACAAGGAGCATCTCTAAATCAGTTAGTGCAAAAACCATACAAGCATATTCAAACTAAAATATAAGTCACAGTCTTCCAGAAGCAGCTACATCAAAAAAAATAAAGTGGATCACTGATAAACATAAAAGAATTATAGATATAGACTTTCTGCAAACACTTTGGTCTAATGCCTGTGTGCTTGCAGGTGTGCAGCTGTTTGTATGTGCTTTTACATCACTTATGTAAGCATGAAAATGAGCTAACAATTGCAAAGGATAAAAACTCTCTAAATACATGGAAGTTTAATAAGCTATCAATTGAACAAAATATGTTCTATTTAATTCAATTACCAAGCAAAAATATGCAAACTAATAAACCCTCTAAACATAATTTCCCACAGAAAATCGATGCCAAAATACCTCCTTTGCCACTGTAACACCATCATTTACAATCTTAGGCGATCCATACTTGCTCTCCAGAACAACATTCCTACCCTTTGGGCCAAGAGTAACTCCAACAAGATCCGCAAGCTTGTTGACACCAGTCTGCATCAACGGAAAACTGAATGATATCATAACTGACTGCTACATAATCAGAATCCTAACAAGAGAATGAAAAGATTACTTGTAACTTCTTAATAGCTGACCCATCCTTGTTGAAATATAACTCCTTAGCCATAGCACTGATGTCAGTGTTACATCTCTTCTGCAAATTCAGCTTCTTCCTTCTGCCACTGAGAGGATGGGAAGAAATAGAAGCTAAAGAAGAGAATTGGGATAACTTCCCAGAAGAGGATACGAATTTATTGTCTGCCGCAAGGCCACTGGCAGCCAAAGAGCCAAATGTCGACACTGTATTGAAAGTGGCTGCCATCGCCTGTGAAATGAATTACAAAACATGAGATCATTTCTCATAACACAAACTCTAATATTATTCAAATGATAAACAGCATACATTGTAATCACTGTCAAAGTAAATCCATATGATTCCTAGAAGCTCATGTGTAGAGCCTAAAAATCTATAAACGATGCCATTCAACAAGTGCATTACGCAAGAAATAGTGATCTATCCCAGACAAATATACAAATCTAAAAAATAATAAGATTATGTGCTCGGGTTTTTATTTTTGACTTCAACTACATAACTTTCAACTGATCCAGCTATGATAAAAGCAAGGGAGAAGCCACAGAAATTGCAGTGGTTAATCCCCAATGAAAAGTATGCTCTTTGCTATAAGGCAAGAAGATGCAATCTCGCCTTTTCAAGCTTGGGTATCAGAATAACAGAGTTCATTTCTGGACTTTTCATTATTTGATTTGCTTGCTTACAAGTCAATTACTTAACCAATCAAAGGATCTTGGCATAACTGATATATTTTTTATTGCTGCAGTATTAATCTCAAGTTCAAGAGCTGACAGACAAAAACTGAAGGAACTCTCTAGCTCCCAATATGAGTTTACATTTTTTATTGGCCAATTGCCCACCTTAAATTAAATAATATATATTGGATAATTTTCTAGAAAAATTATCAATTGCTCAAAAGATCGCAATATTATTCCAAAATGGAATAAAATCTTCCAAAATTATTGCTTCAAAAGATCGCAATATTAATGTTGTTCATTGTGCATTAATGAGCATATATTTCCAACTTATCAAGTCTATATTTTATTTTATGACCATGTGACTATAATTAGATGGTTTGGTCACATACGTGAAAAGGTTGGAGTAGCTCCAGTAGAAGATAAGATTAGAGAAAGTCGCCTTAGATGGTTTGGTCACATAAAACGGCGGCCTTGCGATGACCCGGTTAGGAGAGTAGAGGTATTAGATTTGACTTATGTTAAGAAAGGTAGGGGTAGACCTAAAAAGACTTGGTTAGAAAATATTAGGAATGACCTTTATTTATTAGATTTAAACGAGAATTTGACTTTTAATAGGACACATTGGAGAAAAAGGATTCATGTAGCCGACCCCACGTAGTGGGATAAAGGCTTGATGTTGTTGTTGTTGTTGTTGTGTGACTATAATTAGACTGAAGCATGAATCATTGATTGAATCAATGAAGAACATAGTTTAGAAATCTATGAATTTTAAAATAATTATTGGGAAGACCTTTGGTTAGCACAGGATTGTTTATTGCATGCCTGTTAAAAGGTTAATTTGCACACATATGTAGAAACACTTGCTAGCTTTGCTAGAAGATAATTAACAAATTATGGTAATTTTAACTTGAAAAAGCTATTCAGTATCAACGTACTCCTTATCATTTTTAATAGTTTGAGAAAACTATTTAAATGTGTGGGTATTTTAGCTATCTGAAATAGCATGTAGACAATAGTAATTATGATATTCTAACATAGATTATGAGTTCTTTGAACAGACACAAAGAAAGATTGGATACAAAATAAAAGAAATCCATTGAAGACCTTAATGATTATCACTAAGGGCGTGGGTTTTAACCACCAACATGAAAACTACCAATAATGGATCTCTATCTTAATGGTCTTTTTTATCATAAGGTAGAAAAAAATTTGATTGGAGAAGTCATTGGGTAGCGATGTAAAAAGAGATTAACTCCAGCCTGGTAATACGTTCTATATAGTGTGATGATTAAGTTTAGCTCTTAATAACTCCAAGATGGTAATTTCCACATGGTTCACATTGTCATTTAAACCATTTGAGTATATTCACCGAAGTGAGAGCTAATATTAGGCCACAATTTTGGGCTAAATACCTAAAACTCTCATGGGAATCAAGATCAAGCAAATGTGTCTAAAAGTGTTATCCCACACAGAAATCCAATTCACAGTGTATAACTTCTGAGGATAGATTAAAAAAAAATTGATTCAAGGCAGGGGCGGAACCAGCCCTAATTTTCAGGGGGGGCAAACTTATAAGACATATATGTCGGGGGTCCAAGGGGGCAGTGTCCCCTGGCGGGGTTCGACCTGTTGGGGGCAATTACCTAAAGACCATAGTATTTTAAAATATTTAGGGGGGGGCAATTGCCTGAAAACCCTTGTAATAAAGACTAAAAAATGAATAAAAAGGGGTAAATTACCTAAAAAACCATATAAAAAAATTTATAAAAAAAAATTGAGGGGGGGCAATTTCCCCCCCTGGAACCCATTGGGTTCCGCCCCTGATTCAAGGAACTTATTCCATAACTATCTTTGATCTAATGAAATTGATACTAAATTTAGTTACAATCTCAATTCTTCATGGAAAAACTAAATGCACATATTTTCATTCTTGATCTCTAAATTTATGCAAGTGTTTTCTTAAATTAATGTTTTTTACTTCTTTTTTTTTCAAAGTTGTATGGGCTATATATAAATTACACCTAAACAATGTGTACTAGAAGTGCAGAACAAGCTGTAGAAACAAGAATTGAATATCAGCAGAGGCAAATCATAAACCAAAGAGACACAGTTTGCTCTAAGAAAAGAAATACAATACCAACTTCTCAAGCTAGCATATCTCAACTTATTTAAATTTACTTCATTTCAATTCCTAGTCTACAAATGTTTCATCAAATACAATTGCAACTTATAGTTCAACGAATATCATACATTTCATGCGTGCAAAATATATTCTATTTTTCATGAGTATGCCCAACATCATCTGTGATCAAATAGCAATTAACACAGCTAAACAAAAACAAGAAAGAAAAATATAAAGAAGTATACCGCTTCCACATATTAAAAACCTAATATAACCTTTTCTGAGCCAAAGGACATAGAACTTCTCATAAAAACTAATTATTCAGAACCCAATGGAACTAATGGCAAAAATTACACAGCACATCCATCAAAATTCAAATGCATACCGCTTAGAACATCATCTCTGACAAGAACAAACAAGTGAGCAACAGATATTGACCCATAAAATTATTAGAATAATAATGAATGAAAAACTCCCTGCTGAAAACACTTCTTGACTGACCAGCTAAACTTTAATCTAATTTCAATAACCCTAATAAGTTCTCATCAAAGAAATGTGCTACAAAAGAGGTAATATTCCCCCTAAAATAAAATGAGAAGAGAAGCAGCGGTAGCCTCAATTTTCCCAACTCCTTCAACTGAAAATTCATGACACTACTCAAAATCAGCGATTTCCTCCTCCATGAACAAATCCGACATACATAAAATCAGAAAACTCAAAAAACCACAGCCGAACGAGAAACAGAATGGGAAAAGAAGAAACCCCGTTCCAAACAGATCGGAGAGGAAGAAGAAATGGTACCTAAAATGCAAAGAAGAGAGATTCGGAAAGGATAAGATTGGTAGAACAGGTCGGTGCAGCTCGCCGGTGAATTGGAAATGGAAGGAGATGGATGAGGTTTTATTGTAAGAGGAAAAGAGGGTTTTAAGAGTGAGAACGGCTCCGGGTGATCCTAGCCGTTGGATTTGTATGATAGTTTGATTATGCACTTCACGTTTATTGAGGAGTCTATATCTAGCAATATAATGCCGTTGGATCTCTTTAAGAATTGTGCATATGATTATATGGGTGGCATAGAACAAATCTTAAAGTAGAAACGAAAGATTTGAAACATCGCTCTGCTTTTCTTGGGATCGAGTGGTGCATGGAGCTTTTGTCCGGATCTTTAAGGGAACAATCTAGAAGACCCGACGAAGAACCTCGCGATTCGTGCTTTTCTTATTGAGTCATCTAAGGCTGATCGTTTATAATGGAAAATCCTGCCCGAACCCAAAACGGGTCGGATTCGGATTCAATAATTTGACCAATTTCAAAAATTTAGTCGGGTTCGGGTTGACCCGTCAACTCGAAATTGAACTGAAAATGACTCGTTTTTTACCCGAAAATCCGTTTTTGATCCGGGAACTGGAGATTGACATGTTCTTGACCCGAAAAGCAGAGTTTGACCCATTTTTAGACCCGAAAAACTAGTAGTTTTTTGTCTGAATCGGGCCTTCGGGTCAAGTCAGGTTGACCCGGACCCGAAGCGGGTCGGGTTCGGGTCCGAAAAACGGACTCGTTTACAAAAATGGGTCGGGTACTCGGGTTTGGGTTGACCCGAATAGTATCGTGTTCGTTTCAGGTTCGACCCGAACCCGACCCGTGACCCGAAATTGACACCCTACATTTAGTTTTAGGTTTTGTTTGGGCCAACTTTTTTACTAATTCTTAAATCAACTTTTGTAAAAATAAAAATTTGTGTACTAAAAAGATGCTTTAAGAAGAAGTAACAAAACCGCTCCAAACGAAGCCTTAAAAGGCACATATATACAAGAGAATAATGCATAATAAATCTTATATGAAAATTCATTAAAGAAAAAAAAAATTAAAGGGCTTAGTCTAAATGAAATAATTAACTATATATTTGAAGTTATAAACATCTATTTTTCCTCACAACCGGAGAAGATGTGAACACTTTGTTTGGTCTCTTAAATTTATGATAGACATGGTTGACAAATTATGAATAAAAAATGATGACTGTCCAATAATGTTAGTTGAATCAAGTTATGGTGATAGTGTAACAACAGTTAGCTGATGGAGATTGAATGATGATGAATAAACTATAGAAGTTAAACATCGATAGTTAGACTGTTATGATGGCCAAACAATGGTTTTGTGATGATGGCAATTCCTATTTTCAAGCTTTTGAAAATCTAAGTTGATTTTAGCGCTTGATTTTGGTTTATTTAGACTAAGGTTGAAATGTTTTTGATGGAGTTGGGTTTGTCTTATCAATACGTTTAGTTTGATTATAAATTTGTTAATCAAAGTTTAAATGGTCCTACTTTAACTGTAATTTTTTTTTATTTAATTATTGCATGGAGAATCATGCTTGGTCAAATAAAAATGAACGGGAAAACCCACAAAATAATGAAAAAGGCCTCTTTAGAGCTGATTTCAAGCCCAAAATTTTTAGACATGTGTCACGCGCTCTAAGGGTGTTAAGGAAATTTTTAATTTACATTTTTTTAATTGACATAATTCGATTTAAATTTTTATTTTTATATATTTGTGATAAAAGTATATAAAATATTTTAAATTAAAATTTGACAACTAAAGCTACCAAAAAACTATCAAAAAAAAAAAAAGTTACAAAAATATTTTATGCCTTTTTCTTCTCTTCAAGTATAAATATCCCTCAGGGGGTATGGAAAAAAAATATTCCGCTGAATCTCATACTTTAAGGAGAAATTATGGTGTTCGGACAACGAACGTGTTCAGAGACAAAAAAGCACCACATCACTGGGCGCTCGGTACTGCTCGGTACGCCTGTCTAGACAAAATAATTTTTCTACTTTGAGGGCTCTAGTTCCTTCCCTTAAGAGAGAAAATTGCTCCTTTGTGAGCTTTTAACATTATCATATTATTAGATAATCAAATAAATAAATAAATATTGAGCTTTTAACAATATCATATTATTAGATAATCAAATAAATAAATAAATATATATATATATTTTTTATATTGCTTATGCCTTTTGAGGTATTTGAATGAGTGAAGATCATATTAATCACTTACTTTAATGGAGTATTTGTAATAATGATCGTGCTCATTACTATCTAACCACTGATGATTCCTCATGAGAGTATCTTCTCAGGCTTGTAAGTGGAGACTCTGTTTGACACTTATCATTACGAAATTTTTCTTATGAAGATCATATTTATTATTGGCTTTCCATCAAGGCATTCCCATGGGCATGCCTTCTAAGAGTTTTTATTAGATCTAATATTATTTATAAAAAAAATCATTTATAATTCAATAAAAACTTACTTAATACACACATCTTTATCTCCAATAGAAATAGTCAATGTTGAGAAGTATATAATGAAATTAATTTGTATAAAAAGAAAATTAAATAAATTCAACAAATAGCACCAGTGGTCTAGTGGTAGAATAGTACCCTGCCACGGATAAAATTTTATATATATATATATATATATATTAAAACTAAAATAATGTCCATCTTCCAGTGCAAAACTGCTAACTCAAGAAAAATTTTCTCTTTTTTTTTTTTAGAAATATCAACAACTATGCATAAACACAGAACGATCAAATCAGTGAAGCTTGAGTGAGAAGCTGATGCTCATCGGTGAACTTTTACAGAAATATAGATAATGCTGAGTAAATGAATCAGAAGCCAGCAAGTCACACATCAGCTGGAGGTTTCATCCTTATCAACCGTTTGATTCTCTCCTTCTCTGTATTTTCCAGCATACCCTTCATCATTTAGAAATAAAGCATTAGAGGAATTTATGGGAAAGATATGAGACTGGCGGATAGATTCTACAATAATATCAAGCTTTTATCCCAGGGTCAACTATATGAATCATTTTTTTCCTTTGTACCTATTAAGGAAAATTTATTTTGTGCGGTCACCAAATGATGTCCAGCGGCGAATGAGAACGCGCCACGCCATTTTTGTGCTGTGTACCGCTCCGTACAAAATGACGTGACGCATTTTAATTCACTTTTGGACCGTTCAATGACCACAGAATAATTTCTCAGGGGAGTCAAATTCCCATTTAAATCTAATAAAGAAATATTATTTCTATACATTTGTCTTTTTTAATATGGATCAAATCTAATACATCTACTCTTCTAACAGGGTCATCGGAAGGCCACCGTTTTATATGACCAAACCATCTAAGGCGACTCTCTCTAATGTTATCTATCATTGGAGCTACTCCAACTTTTTCACGGATATACTCGTTTTGTATCATATCTCTAAGAGTAAATCCACTTATCCACATGAGCATCCACAGCTCAACAACACTTAACTTAATATTATGCTTCTCTTTTAAGGGCAAACATTTTGTTCCATAAAACATTGCAGGTCTCACCACCATCTTATAAATTTTTTCCTTAAAATTGAATGGTACTTTTTATCGCACAACAAATCCGAAATATTCCTCGATTTCAACCATCCAATAGAAATATCTGCTAACAATAGATAGATTCTGAAAGAATAAAATTTGGATTGGGATATTTGATTCATATTTTGACTCGAATTTAATTATAATACAATATAAAATTATTAAAGTTGATTTAAGATAAATACAGTGTGATTTTTAATTGTTTGATCATACATTGCCCTAATCTAAAAGCAAGGTTAATAGCTCTTAAATCCTTTCAAATTAAAATTGAATAAAAATATCCTGATTAATCCTGCTCATTTAAGTGGATAAAAAAAAATCCATCACAACCATCAATTTCATTTTGAATTATTGGAGTTATTATTCTTTTTTTTAATGAAGGATTACATACATACCCCAAAATTCTTAAATATTTACATATCTAACACCTGTTTCAAAATCACATTAAAAAATATATAGGAAACTATGTTCTCCATTTTAAATAAAATATTAATAATATATTTTTATGTAATTTAACTATTAAAATTATACATAAATAATTATAAAAATCAGGTGCTACATATATAAATACCTAAAAATTCAAATATATGTATGTAAATCCCTTTTTTTAATTAAACAATAAATTTGAAAATAAAAATCAATAGAATGACTGTTATTGAACATTTATTATTATTATTATTATTATTATTATTATTTTACTGTTATTGAACACTTCATTACTATGATTGGACAGATTAAAATCCTTTGTAAAATAATAATGTTTTTTACTCTGATAGTGAAAGTTGTAATGTTAGTGTGTCTCTACCTGCCAAACAATTTCATCAAGCGATAGGCATATCCTCCCATACTTGTCGAGGAAGAGCCGCTCGGTCGGAGGTTTCCCACATGCATCTTTGGTGCTTGATGTTATCGCAAAGATGACCTCTGCCACTGTAGAGTAAGAAAGTATGCAGCCAAACTTAGCACAAATTAGTTCTATGAAATACATCTTAGGGCTCATTTGATTTGGGACAATTTACTTTATGCTTCTTAAAGTAATTTTCTAACACAAAAGTTAAAATATTTGTACTAAAAATCTGCTTTAAAAGCAGTAAGAAAATCATCTCAAATGAAGCTTAAAATAACTTTTTAGTACAACAATTTTTGTACTAAAAAATTATTTTAAAAAGCAGTATGAAAGATGTCTCAAATAAAGCCGTAAAGTAGAAAGTAGGTTTTGAAAAAAATGATAAAAATGTTTTAGATGTCATTAAATAAAGATATCACCTTCCAATCTTATTATTTTTCTACAATAACAGCTCTCATTAAATTAGAGCATATCCATCAATTATTATAAAAAATTGGAAAGTAAAGAGACTCAAGAATTTTGATAAATATATTAGCCAATTATTCTTCACTTGATGTGGGGAGTAATGATCTTTTTTGACAATACCATATCTTTGATTAAGTTGTAATCTATTTTAATATGTTTGATTCTTTTATGAGATATAAAATTGCTTGTAATGTAGACAATTGCTTGATTATTATAATTAAGGATCATGGTCCATGTTTGGAAAAGATAAATTCTCCTACAAAAATTTTGATTCACACAATTTTACAAGTGAAAAGACTCATAACTTAGTGTTTAATTGTAACACTCATCTAGCTGCAACTATTTACTAAGTGGTTTTCCCAACAAACAACTTTTTCACCAAAAGACACAATACCTAAAAGAGATTGTTAATCTTCAATAGATCTAGCATATTCAGCTCAACAACAATGACAACAACAACATCAAGCCTTTATTCTGCTATATGGGGTCGGCTATATGAATCATTTTTATCCAATATTTTATGTTAAAAGTTAAAAGCTTTAATCCTCAAATGATTAAAATTATGGTAGACTAGAACTTCTCCCGAAGATCTCTTGATATATCTCAAAATTCTTAGAATAGCCTTGTAGTGCTTTTTCTTCGAGCTTTGATAGATGAGTTTACTAACAAGACATTGATATCGAGAAGGATTTTCATAGCTTCCATCATCCTAAGATGAATGCAAAGTTTCCTTCATCAAACATAAGAATAGTTTCTTGGAGAAGGCATATAACATATTCTTTTGAGAGAGATGTTTCCCTTGCTCTATCTATACTTGAAGCCAAAAAAAGAATTTGCAGTGGAGTGGATGGGCAATCAAAGGCGTCTTAGAAGAAGACAGTCTAGGCTCTTGAGTATAAACATGTAAAGAAGGAGAAGTGGGCGATAGATCTAAAAGTGGTAGACGTATAGTTAGAGGTATACTTGCACGGGATGAGGTAGGAGTGAAGGAGTTCTTTCATGAGAGGTAACATTGACAAAACATGAAATTTTTTTTATATAAAGGTTGTAACATCAAAAACATTTTTTAATACAAGAAAAATTACAAAAACAACATCAAATCTTTGTCCCATTGGTTCGGCTACATGAATCCTTTTTCTCCCTGAAATATGATGAGTTTACTTTCACAGAAGGGCCTATTAGGTTGCTTAAAGTTAGAAAACATACATTTTTAAAAGGTGAATTTACTAGATTTTTGTCATTTCATTGGATGTATTACATTGATTCTAAACACTAAAAACAACTTCAAATCCCTGAAATATGATGATTTCAATTTCACATCACTATCGCATATTCAACCTTTTTAAATCAGGTTTTCTATCTACAAGCAACCAAATAATCTCTAAAAAATGCTTGGAGAAGAAAAAATTCATTTTCTAAAACACATTTTTATCAACAAGCAACCAAATGAACCCTGAAATTCCAACAATATTGAGTTAAGATTTACTTACAAGCAAGCTCATCATAATCATCTTTGCCAACTACATAAATGCAGATATCCCCAAGCATGGTGTAAACTATGTATACAGATCTGGAAAGGAAAAAAAAATAGATAAAAGAAATGAAACATCAGCAAGAGGAAATAATTTATGCGGATGAAATGCCATGTACAAACAATTTTTGCGGATGGTGCATATCAACAGAGGAAGAATAGTGAGAAACAGCTTTCATTTTTCTAAGATGGTGCTATTAACCGCATAAAGAAATTGGAGCAAGAGACAATGGGTGAGCATGAATAGAAGGTTAATATTTCCTATCGTACTCAAATTTATTCCGAATTATATCAGGAAACAATACTATTTCTTCCCAACATTAATAAATCAGATTATTACTACGTATCGATTATTTCGTCGGAACTTGCACTTTTGGAATTAAGAACTATAACGTGCATATCTTAGAGAAAGTATTGAGGACGTTCAGCAACAATACTGGGCACTGGCTGCTGTAAAAAAAAAAAAACGTTTTGTTTTTGTATTTTTTTCAGGAGAGTAGGGGAAAAATGAGAAGAAAGAGAGCGGGTGAGGTAGGAGATTCTTGATATTGGAAACCAAGAATTTCAGAGGCGCCGGAATGCTGATGTCGGAGTGATCATTTGCCGGGTCGGAGGAGGCGGAGAGGGGAGGGAGGGAGGAAGTAGAACTTTGATCCCCCATTAATGGCTCTATGATACCATGATAGAGGAAGAAGAAGATGGAAACTGAGAGAGAAAGAGCGGGAGGCAGACACAAGAATAAAGAAAGTAGAAAGTATTATTGATCCTTGCAAATGTGATTACAGAAGAGTATATATATAGACATATATGATGGTACAGAGGTAAATACATAAAACGAGATATATTCAACTAGTTTATTCTCTAACACTGAAAATATCAACAAACGAGAAGCAACAGTGATACTATAGTACCTGAACCATTCGAGCTCAGATAGTCATAGAGAAATGCAATAACCAGCGTGGGACTTACGAACTTGACAAAATTTATTTCGGGACACATGGCTCTGCTTATACTGTCAATCTTCCAGATTAATATGAGCATTTGCTTACAACATAGATGATTATCCACAGCTTTCCAATTACTATATGATGGGACTGCTGCAGAGTAGCTATTTCTGTTATTTAAATTATCCAGACAGCTCTAAATAAAAGAATGGAAGTGAGCCAAGCACGCTTGTGCTTGGTTTAATAAGCGCCAATAAAATCAAGCTAGCTAATTCTGGGGAAGAAGCTTTAAGATAGATATAGATGTACATGTACAAATTATCTAAATATATTCCTAATTATCTTATATACAACAAATATCATTGCAATCACCCAACTAATAACAATCCTTAGTTTATACTTTCTAGTTTTGCCACACACCCCTCTTAATATTTTCATTATGTCATGCTCAACTTATATCAGCAACTTTTTAACTTTAAACACTCAATTAGTAGTAGGTACTCCAATTGAGTGCTCACAAGAACCAAGTGGTGTATGTGGATCAGCATAAGTTGTCTACACGTTTATTTCTCTTTCCCCCCTCCATCAACCTTGGTATCAAAGCAAAAACCAACTTTTATTTCCTTGTTGGCTTCAATAATCTTGCTTCCCAAGCCATATCTTACTAAGATTCACTAGCTAAATATAAATATCGTATCCCATGATCCCTCCCTCTTCCATAGCATTAATCTCATCATGCAAGACTTCACAACCGCACGCCCAAATCCAACTCTAATCCCGCTAACCCTACAAAAATCTCACAAAATTTAACACATCCACAAATCATCTAAGCTTGTGATTGACCACTCAAATCCAATAGTTGCTTGCAACTATAACACTTGCTAGAGATTCTCTCTCTCTCTCTCTCTCTCTCTCTCTCTCTCTCTCTCTCTCTCGTGTCTACAACCTCACATATTCATTCTATCGTGTCAACAATCTCCACTGCTGATAGGCTATCGCCAAAGTGAAGTGGTTGTGTCCTATGCACGAGTTCCATGTCCAAAGCATATACTCCAGTGGGAGATTTTTAATCGTAATCCTCTTTGTCAAATGACACCAACTATTCGCATAATTGTTCATATTTACCTTATTCGCATGATTCATAGATCTCCTAAATTGCCGCCTTTGCCTACTCCAAACGTCAACAGAAAGGCCCTCTACAATCTACATCCCTATTGAATATTGCAAATCCAAACAAGCTGAGTGCGTCCATCTTTAGTCGTCACTAGAGAAACTCAAGCCTACTTATCAAGCCATCATATAGAGAGGTTGTTGTCTTTTCCTTTGTACTCATTGATTTTCACCAAACAAAACACTACAGCTCTAAAGCTCACTGATTGTTGTAGATTGTCTTAGCCAGCAACAGCTTTAGAGAGATTCTCTGCTTGCAAGGCAATCATAGCTTTTTAATGTTTAACCCTACTAATGATAAGGTATAATCTCTATTGATGTTAAAAAAATTACATAATTGTGGCAGATCTTATAATTCTACATGAATAATTTAACAGTTGATCTCCACTTAAAATAGGCCTAGTCAAAATACTACAACTTACTATTTCTAGTAAGATTTACATGTGAGTAAATTGAGTACTCCACCAAAAATTATCTTGCATGCTATTATATGATCATGCTTAAAGGAAATTAACTTGATTTATTATAATGAAAAAAATTATTGTTTTTGCAAGGACATCTAGTAATAACTATTTTGAGTAGATATTTTTGCATGTCATTTAGATAACATGTTAGGTGAGACCTATAAAATGCATCATTAAATGATCAATTTAAAAAACAGATAAGCAATAGCCCTATTGGTAATGATTAGAGAGTCCCGTCCTTCGAAATGAATCAGTTAAAGCTCCAATAAGTTATAGAGCCTGATATTGGCCGCCTAAAAACTTAATTGCACAAAGAAATGTCAATGGGGCATCCACTAGTAAATCAGTTGTTACACCATAAAATTTTCCACCTAACACTAGAGCTAATTTTAAGAATCTCTAATGAGTTATTTGAGAAATTAGGCTAGCCTACACAACCCACTTATCATGCATATGTGAGGATTACCCTAACTCATAAATATTGCATTTGTAAAAATATTCCTCATCATAATAATCCTCACCAATGTCATAAATAGTATAGAATAACCCCTCTTAGAGCACCTATTGCCAATTGTGATAGTCCCACTGACAATCACCATGAGGTCCATGACCCTACCCAAAGGATCAAGGTTGATGCTTCCACATTTCAGAGTCTCAATCGCCTCGATACTTACAAAGATTGTCTAAGATGAATTTTGCCTAGCACAAGATGGATGCGAAATTTACTAAAATCAGAAGCAATATTTGACGCTCCACTATAGGAGAAATCTTGTTGAGATTCTCTTAAATAGTAAGCAAGATTCTCGATCAGTTATGAATTACCTTAATTAGTTTGAAAAGCTTATATCAATGTGTGAGATCTCATAAAATGCTGATCATGATAATAAAATCAATTAATTAAGACATTTAACTCCAAAGTTTTAACTAAGAGGATATAGTAGCAAACTTATGAGAAGCAACAAAAAGCTCCTCATTTTTAGCTCCTTTGAGATTTTCAGCTCCTAGCTTTACAAGGAAAGATCGCCAATGTAACCTCTCCTCTGCAGGAACTCCGTGGAATCTACAATATAATGAAAACCAAACTATGTTATTCATATAAAAATAAGCGCAATTCTTTATCCAAAAAAAAAAAAACTAAAAACTAAACAAAAAATGTATAAAATTCAGAATTTTGGGCTATTCTGCAAAGACAAATGCGTAATGTGATGTGATCCAAAAAGTACAAAGAATTGTTTGGGTAGATTCTAAATTTAAAACATTATTTTCAAATAGCATTGTGTGATTGGGCACACAACAGGACAATCCAAAAGCCTAAATAGCTGTTGATTGGATCTTTAATCAAACATAACACAAAAATAATAAAGATACAATTTTTTACCTAACCCAATTTGATTTGAAGAATGAGTGATATGAGAATAAGGAATACTCCATAATTTTTGAATATTTTTTTGGGGACATATAACTCCAAAGAAAGTTCATAAATAGATGCAGTGCTCATACAGATGTTCGGGATGTTTGAAGTGAGGTCCATAATTGAACAGTGAAAATCAATGAGAAATAAAAAAAGAAAAAAATAAAATTATATCGAAATAACAAATCCTTGTGCTTTTGATATTGAAACCTCAAAACAGTCACCAAATTTGGAGTTTGTAAGGCACTCATGAGCTTGTAGTGCAGTCCACTTTCTTTTTACTCTTTTGGAGCGTTAAGAAAAGACCGTTGAGCGCGATTAAATTTTATAGGCAATATTTTTAATTTTGTGCACCAAGGTTTCCCATAGACAGAAACTCTCATGGTTAATTATATCACCAACCTAATGCCCGATAACACTCTCAAATAAGGATATCATTGTGCCCTAAATTATTAAGAAATTTCTTTCCAAGCTCGCCATAAGAACTGGAAAAAGAAGTTCACGAAAATCGAAAGACTGGGTGGAAGGTGGAACGATTGCGACAGGCGTGGGGCCGGAACCGAAACGAGTAGGATATCCGCTCTCTAGCTTAGCTAGTTCGCTTCTCATGATGATAGGCGATAGGTAGCAAGAAATCTCGTATAAGAATACCCGTTCCGGTATACGTTATTACTTGTAAGGACAGCCTAGCAAACTCGGACTGCGGACACTTAGCTAACTAGTTCTTGGCAATCAAGTTTACGTATGAGGGGAATGAATGGTGAAAGATAGTTGACTCGATCAAAATCTCCGAGTTTTTGCATATGAGGTCAATCAATGATGTTGGGTCAAAGGGCCAAAACATCTAGAGAATCTAATTAGCAATAATGGGTCGCCTCCTATTAGATCTTTCTAATTGATCGGAAAAGAAGTGGTTTAGAGAAGAACAAATAAAAATTAGGAAGGTAGGCTTGCAATATTCAATCCAAAGAGAGCAATCTGACTGAGTAGTGATCACAAGGGTTGAGGCTTGACCAAGGAGTAGTTCCTGAACATTTTGATGAACTGATTTAAGAATTTAATCGATGTGTCGAACATGAATGATGCTGATCCGTTAACCTGACTTGAATAGCCTTAGCGAGTTCTAGGTAAAGTCATATAAGATCGAGTAAAATTGGTCAACTCCGAAAGAAGTCAATATGAAGCGAGTGAAAACTTGATGAGTTCGAGCGAATTTACATGAACTTGATTGAATGAGATCCAATCCAAGTAAATTTAAGGGAGCTTGAAATCAAGACAGGTTGAGTCCTATATAGGTCAAGTTAGACCAGACTTGAGAAGGTCAAAATTCCATTAACCTTTTTGAAATTGAACCAAAGTTCATCATTGGGAAACCAAATTAGATGCTCACAACTAATAATCTAGCTTTTTCACTTATATACACATTGAATGGCATACATTTAGATGAGGAATTAAGGCTCTAGAATGGTTCAATTAATGTTAAGTTGAGCTTTAAATAATTTTGGGTGAATCTGAACGAACTTAAGTGGAACAAGCTAACTCACATGGAAGCTTCTTAAACTCGGGAAAACTCATTGTGAATCTGACCTCATTTAATACTTGACAATCCTCAAAAATTTTTGAAAGATAACATGAATCATTAGCAGAAGAAAAGTAGAAAGGCAAAACAAAGGTTGCAAAAGATTTTCGTTGAACTGATCATATCATTTTTTGGCAATGGGTAAAAGGTTATTTACTTAAATAGCATAATAACTAAAAAGTTGACACCACCATTAAGGTTAATTACAAGATAATCTTCATGAAAAACGAAAAATAAAAGGCCAATTTTAAATAAAATCAAAATTTAACTGCATAAATGAAATCTTAACTATCTAGATCATCAAGAATCATACAACAAACTAAGAAGAACTCTCCTTTAGAGAGTAAGAGTGGTGAAGATTCTCTGTCAATAGAGAGCAACAATGCATTCTCTCATAATGAGCTTATAATTTCTCAAAGATAGATTTTATATCTATCTTGTCAAAATAATTATAACAGCTATAGGTACTACTAACATATGTGTTGGTGGCAATTTTATGAGTAAAACAAAAATTTATTATTGATGCAATGTCTTTAAGTAGGAGGGCATAGGATCTTCAAAGAAATATCGACTATCTTAAAGGACGAAGGCATTTCTGTCTTTCTTTTTTTACCTTCATTGTATATTTTTTCCTCTACTTTACTTTCAAATAGATAGGAGCTCAAAAGTGCAGACGTGTTTCCTCTAGTGCAGAGAGAGCAAGGCATACATTACTTGTGATTCACACCAAAAAGGATTGAATGATATGAATTAAATGTGCTATTTTGGTGCAGGAGGTTTGGGGAAATTGGGTAGGGATTTAAATTAAATATAAAATTAAATTTAAATTCAAATCTGAAGAGATTTAACGATCAATTTTAGGATCAGGGCCTTTTTAGGGCTATTTTCTAACCGCTTTGCTTTGTAGACAACAACATGTAATTAGTATATTGAATGACAAGCCACATCTGCATGTCAAAGCTTTAATATATAATAACAACCATCCATCAACGTAAAGAGCAAAAGTCAAAAACATAAAGCTATATATTAACATTTTTACAAACATATTAGTGCAAGAACATAAATAGAAAACTATGGGAAATAAAACATAGGATTGCTGTAAGAGATATTTGATTTATAGTCATATCTCAACTTTGTTTTTTAAAAATAATGATATATTTTAATATTGAAAATGCTGACCTTTGACTGCTCTCTCATAGAAATATTTAAATCAAATAATCTACAGCAATCATGAACTAGCTTAGTGTCCAAGAAGCATAAACACAAATAAAATACCACCTTTAGGACTACTTTGACCCATATGCAACTTTCTTCCCATTGAATTATTAATGACTTCTCAAAAGATGATGCTATGAGATTCAAGGGGAAATGGCTAGAGGGTCATTAAGCTAAAAAAAAAGTTTAAGACAGAGTCTACAGATTAAATAGATTTTGTTTGTTAATACGTCAGACAAGAGGCTTAAACAACCAAAGGAACTTTTGAATTGTTGAGAATATGAAGTAGCACTTTCAATCCTAAAATTTAATTTTTAATAGTTAGAAATAAGGATGATATATTATAGTGCAGAAAGTAATAAAAAATAAAATGATGGCAAAATGTCTTAGATCTTATTAATAGTTAAAACGCACTAATCTTTTATATTCTTAGATGCTTACTCTAAATTTTAAAGCCATGACAAACTTCAGCATCTGATAGCTCAGAAAATTTGATGCCTATTTCATGATTAATAGATCTGGCACCCTTCCAAATTGCATGAAGCGCCATCCACAAAGGGCATGTTGAATCCAAGAGGGTTATATCTGATGCCTCTTGAACGATGATCCCAAGTAGCATAAGGAAATAGTTGTCAAGAACTCACAAATACACATGGCTAAAAAGCTAAACCCAAGAAGACCAAGGACTAGCGCCAACAGGAACTACAAGTTAGGAAGCCATGGCCAAGCCCAAGAACCTTTTCAACACCTACAAATTACTATGGTTGCAACCCACCAACAGTTATCATAGATCATGGTCTGGGAAATGTTGCAGACCTCCGAGTAGTTGAAACGCGCCCACCTCCTAACTCCGGTAGAAAACAAGAATAACAATCATTGTTCCTCCCCCTACCACCAAAATAGAAACCAGTTAACAACCACTGCTCCCCATCTATTTAGCTGGCGTCATGTGGCTGGCGTCATGTGGTCACCTCCGCACATTGCCAACACAGTGGTCAGTGAACAGCTAAGGCTTTGTTTGGGACGGCTTTCTTACTGCTTGTTAAAATAACTTTCTAGTAAAAAAAATTTAATTTTTGTATTAAACTGCTTTAAGAAGCAGTAAGAAAGCCAGCACAAACGAAGCAGGCTTCGTTTGGGACGGCTTTCTTACTACTTCTTGAAGCAATTTTCTAGCACAAAAAATAAAATTTTTATACTATAAAGCTGCTTTGCCAAGCAGTAAGAAAGTCGTCCCAAACGAAGCCTAAGTCTCCCTCCCTCTACAATTTTAATAACCTCAGCTACTTCAGCTGGTACAAAATAATATCAAAACTTTCACAAGACATCAATAAAATTTCATCCTTCAGAACAAACGTTCCCTAAAATGTAATATTCCATGCCTATTGAATTTCTTATCAACCCACCGGCTCCATTCAGCTACACAATGCTCATAGTTCTTAGTAAAACAACAAAGTCTTCAGCTGATTCCAAAAACATATCCCCAGCAACCAGCATTCAGTAATTAGGTTAAATCACTTGGGATGTTATCATCCCAGCAATAACAAAAGCGGTTTCTTTCTTATTTCTTCACAAGTAAAACTAAAATCGTTCTTTTGATCTCTGATTAACCCAACAAAAAGAACCATGCCCCTAACCTTTGTATTAAGAATATCTCCTACATAAAAAGCTATGGAGTAAAGTGAAGTAGGATCTAATCAATCGTATCAAAAACAAAACGATTTAAGAGAAACCGGAAGTTACCAAAAACAATACAGCGCATTTAAGATCTGTAGCCCTATGACAGAGAAAGGGGGAAGAAGAAAATAAAAGGGGATTCATAGTACCGCTCGATGAGGATGTTTCCATCGGTATTGGCGAAAAGCACGGCGAGCAACATCGTCGGATTCCGGCTCTGATCCACCGATCGCTTCTGTTCAGCAAAACAGGTCGCCTCTTTAAGCACGAAAAAACACAATTTTTTTCATATTGAAATTTAAGTATACTTCCACGCTTGCATAAAATAAACACGATATAAGGTATTTTCGTGAAGTATGCGCTCTTTCAAAATAATATAAAATTATAATATTGATTATCAATCAAGTTTGAGTTCAAGTCTTACAATATGATATTTATAATTTAGTATAATTAATAGATTTAGTGATTTACTATATTTGTCGCGCCTTGAAATATTTGTAGCGGTAGAGAAATATAAAGTTTAACGTCTTAACTTTGTAGGAAGATTCAACACGCGTAGAAATAAAAAAGTAGGGGTGTAATATTAATAAGAGGCATCAGAGTTTTTACGTGGAAACCTCTGAAAGAATGAGTCCACTAGTATTTGTATTTGATTACAAATAAGACCCTTCCTTTAGGGGACTGCCTTGGCTCGATGTAGCCAATATACATTATATAGAGTACAATACATGATGGGGGTTGGAGGATCAATGTTGAAATGTTTGTGTTGGTCGGCATGGCCATAGTCAACGAGTGATGTAGTTTAGAAGAACTGTAGTCAAGTGAAGATGGTAAAAAAAATTATAGTCGGGCGACAAAGGTCGAAAGGACCATAGTTGATGACAGTAGTTGGAATGATCATAGCCAGGTAATGTTGATAAGAAAGATCATAGTCCGTGGATGATGAAGGTCGAAAAGACCATACTTAAGTGATGGCGGTCGGAAATACCATAGTTGATGGGTTTAGGTGATGGTGGTCGGGAGGACCATCGTCGACGGGCGACGAAGGTCGGAAAGACCATAATCAACTGATGGTGATTTGAAGGACTGTAGTCAAGCTACAATAGTTAGAAGGGCCGTAATCGGTGGAGGGTGGAGGTTGGAGGACTATAGTATGGCGACGACGGTCGAGAGATGGTGGTTAGAGTGACCATAGTAGGTGATGGTGGTTAGAAGGGCCGTAGTCAGCGAGCGACATAGGTTGAAAAGATTTTAATCAGACAATGGTGGTCATAAGTACTGTTATCAGTGGGCAACAGAGGTCGAAAAGATTGTAGTCAGACGACGATGGTCGGAAGGACTATAGCCAGACAACGGTGATCAATGAGACTATAATCAGGAGATGGTGATTGGAGAGACTGCAGTCGGAGGGTAACGAAGGTCGAAAAAGACCAGAGTCAGGTAATAGTGGTTGTAAGGACCACATTTAGGGTGACAGTGGTTGCAAAGATCACAATTCGGGCAACGATGGTTTGAAAAGTTGAAGTTCAACAATAATCGGTGGTCGAGTGAAAGTTTGGAGATAGTTGGTGGCCGGGTGGAAGTCCGACGATGATCGGTGGCAAAGCAGTGGTCGAGGAGGAGTTTAGTAGCAATAGAGATGTCAGATGTTTCTTCCTCTCCTTTCTTCTTTCCCTTTCTTCCTCTCCCTCTTCAATGAAGAATGATAAGTTTATTTATAATTTTCTGAGAGTGGTATGATTAGTAAATAGGGAGAATATCAAGAGCACGTGGAAGTGGATTGAATGGATGGCCGATATATATTCCCTTGATAATGAACCGTTTAACGAGCATTTGAGTGCCGTAATAAAGTCAAAATTCGACAATCTTAGGCTCTTTGGATTCATCTCATCGAGCCGAACGATTTTACTATAAGCATGACACATTTAAAGATCATTTGGTCATCCAATTTATGGTTTGAACCTTCTCAATATGCTCCAAGTCCTTTATATGGACCCATTTGGGCTCGAATTGAGTTGAATTTAGTGTTGTTGGGTTCATTTTTCGAGATGTTCAATTCAACTATAAGTTTGTTAAAATCGGAGTTCGAATGTTTATAAATTTAATTTCAAAAGTTTCAAACTCAAAATTTCCTCGATATTCATGTCTGATCAAGATAAATTTTGGATGATATATCAATATTTAATAAATTTTAAATTGTATTAATTAATGATTAATTATGATAAATTTTTAAAATTAATATAATGTATTTAAATTATTTTAGTCAATTTTTTTTTTTATAAATAAAGTTAAAAATTTTAACGATATTATTTGTGAGCTTTGTATCGAACATTAATCATGTTTTTTAACAAGCTTGTTTATGCATTGAGCTTCTTATCGAGCATATTTAAGAGCTTTAAACGATACTGTTCGTGAACATAAATGAATCAAATAAATATATGTTTAAATTTATTTATTTAACAATCGAGCATTTAAAAATTTGTTCAAACTTATTTGATATGTTAAACAAATGATCACGAACGACTGCATATCGAGCCTCGAGTAGCCTGTGTAATGCTCAATTTGTTCACAGCCCTACTGTTACATACCAATGTAACATATAGTTATTATAAATGTAAAGTTTAATGGAAGAATATACAATCAATTATAATGATTTAATTTATATCTCAATGAGAGTTAATCCAACAAAATGATGCTCAATTAAATGAGTTTAAAGATATTTGTGTAGTCTAACTAACACCTAATGAATCTCAACGCAAATGTTTTGAGGTTAGCGCGAAAACTGATAACCTAACACAACAACAAGAGAAAAGGCAATTTGCAATAAGAGGAAAAGATTAAAAAATAGGAGAAAGGAAATATAATATTAAAAAAAGAAATTAATATTGTAATTGATTGTATCCCGTCCGATGGCATCACGGCACTCGCCGACTCGTGCTAGACGGACCACATGCGTTGTCGAGATGGAGCAGTCAACCTCAATGGAACTTAAACCCTATTCCGTGTTCGTGGGTCCGGTCGGGTCAATTCGTGAATCGCGCCTGCCGTGTCCGAATTGAAAATCTTGACCCATTTATAAAAGTGGATTTAATTTGAGTTAACCCGTTTATGCTCGTATGGACCCGAATTGGATCCGAACCCGATCTATTCACCCGAATTAACACCCATTTATGCTGATTTTTTCCAATTATTTATCAAGGAAGATTCTTAGATCCCGCAATGAAATGGTTCCTTACAGCATTAGTACTTTGTCCGAGTCACACTATATGACTATACCAGGAAAATCATGGCCGTCGGATTGGAGCCGCTACGAACTTAGCGTAAATATAGCGAGAGACAGCGAGCGCGCGCAGGGGAGGACAAAGTGAATTCATCTTGTTCTTCGTATTCTTGGCTAATTTTCAGCAGGAAAAACTCTCTGAAGACCTTGAATTGTAGTTGGGAGAAGGCGCGGATAAGGGGGAGATCGGCCATGGGACAAGTATTTCGGAAGCTCTTTGACACCTTCTTCGGGAACAAAGAAATGAGGGTTTGTTTTCTGAACTTTTTTATTGTATCTAAAAATAGCATATGTTGTTTCATGCAACAACTGTTTTTGGCCTTCCCGCGTAGATTTGCGCTTACTGGTTTAGTTATTGGGATCAAAGTCATGGCTGATATGGCGTGATTTATGTCTTGGTTTCGGATTAGGATGCCTTCTATGACTGTTTGGGGTCTTGGGTTGACGAAAAGTTTTAAGCTGATATTGTCTAGTTGCTTGTGAAATCTGCTGGTCGATGTGGCTTAGGAAACAGCGGACTTGTTTTTAGCAATTATTTTTCTAGTTGATGACAGATTTTTTATGATCATATAACAAATCTGGGTTTTGAGAAGGACGTGCCTGAAGAAACTCTTACTTCTGTTATTATGGTTGATTTACATGTTTATATTCAAAATTGAAGAATACATGATATAATACAATAGGGTGAGCTCAGGCAAACTTGCTGTGTTATAATTCACTGAAAATATTATGTTGAGAAATTATTGTATAGGCATTTTAAGGAAGAAATTATTTTGAAAGAACATAATTAGAAAAATGGTAAGGTATATTCTCGATTGATTGAAAAAGATGAAGTGAAATTAACTCGGTAGAAGATGCATGCAGGTAAAACTTAGGTCCATATTTGATATCTATTGAGATATGAAGTGTTATGTAGCCAATTTGGCCATATTGCCGTGATTTCATTAGCAAGTATTTTCAATAGAAATTTGAAGAATAAGATGATACCCAAATGACTGGAAAATAATTATTTTTATACCAATATTTAAGAGTAAAGTGTACTTTTAAGATTGTGCTTATTAGATGAATTAAATTTATGATATTTTAGAATCAATTTGGTTTCATACCAAGAAGGTCCATCTTATAATCAATTTTTATGTTAAACAATTAATGACAAAAGTATGGAGAGAAGAAAAATTATCTTTATGTAATTTTTATTGATCTTTTGAAGGAATGATATGAGAATTGATTTGTAGAGTAAGGTAGAAATGTGTGTGAAAAAGATATGTTGAAGTTATTAAAGAAATATATGCTGGAGTGTTGGCTAATATTAGAAGTAGCTATGGAGTTATCAGATAGTTCCTAATTATAGTAAGATCACATCAAGAATCAACATTACCTACAAAAGATATTCAAAGCGAGGTGCTTAGTGCATGATTTTTATAGATGATATAGTTTTTACTAGTGATTCATCAAGTGGAATAATGCAGATAGAACAATGAAGAGCTCTTCGAGTTACTAGAATAACACTTGAGTATGATATGCAATTTTAGGTGGGATCATATTAACATTTATCAATATATATTCTTTGATGATAATGTAATAGTTAGATGTAATATGTTTAACTATATTGGTACTATTACACAAAAGAATGATGATATAAATTTCAAACTTTAGTTGTGTTATTCAAATGGAGAAGTGCTTCAAAAGTCTTATGCGATAGGAGGATATGATGAAGTTTTGAAAGGAAATTTTATAAAATTACAATTAGACCAATGATGTAGTATAAATTTGAGTGTTAGTCAATAAAAAATTATTGATATTTAAGTTGAAAATGATAGAAATTAGAATATGTTTAGCACCAATGGTAGCACTCAAGAGGAATGTTATGTATGGATTGGTCCATATTTTAATCTTGCATATTCTTTCACTGTACTTTCTTTAGTTTCTTGAATAGCTTTTATTTCCTTTGGTGTGCTACTTTGTGTAGTCATTATTTTAGTCTTGCGTATTCTTTCATTGTACTTTCTTTAGTTTCTTTAATTTGTTATTTTAAAATTTTGAGTTGGAAAACTGAACTTTTTCACTAGACATGATCTGATATGTTGAAAATCATGACTACTGAGTAAAGATAACTCATTGCATTGTTTCATATTATGTATGATAATTTTCGTTTTCTTTAGAAGTTGCCAAGCTTTTTATTGTTTCAGATATAACTTATCTTATGAAAAGTTCGACGGCTTCTTATAGGGACCCTTGAGCAAGTTTCTGTTGGAATTTTATTATCTCAATCCATTTTTTGAACTTAATGTTTAGTCTACCGGTTTAGCTTGCTGCTTAGTCTACCGGTTGAGCTCGCTTTCTATGAGAAAAATGTTGTGCTTTATTTGTGCTTTTGTCATAAAAAAATTCTACTGCTTTTGATTGCTGCTCCAACATCTATATCTATAGTTTTGTATGAATGAATACCTCCATCTTCTACAGGTTGTGATGCTTGGACTGGATGCAGCGGGTAAGACAACTATATTGTATAAGTTGCACATTGGAGAAGTTCTATCTACAGTTCCAACAATTGGTATGATTACAAAATGAACTCTATGTTTTAGGTTTATTTTAATTGCATTAGCCTTGGCTCTTTCATAAAGCCATATCCAAATGGCTGAAATAACGCTAATGATGATGAATATATTTGGTCCTTAATAATCATTTTCCTGCACTAAGCCATGTGTGCTGCATAAAAAAATCTGAAATTCTAAAGTGATAGCTGCGGAAGTGGGCTTATCAAATGTTTTTTAGTGGTAGCTTGTAACTTGCCCATTTTTATCCTGAAATGGCTTGTTGTGGATGACTTTTAATTAAGCAGGTTACTTTTTTTCACCTACTATTTATAATATTTTCCTATCATTTATGTGTATTTTTAAAGTTTCTGTACAACCTTGTATAAATTTTAAATTTGAACTTGATATATAATTTTTAAACTTCCACTTCATTCTTCATATGGTTTTAGAGAAATTCTTTATTCCTTTTCTGTGTTAAAACCACTGCCTTATGTTGGCGTTATAATCTAAAGATTCATGCGAGGCTATCTTTTTCCCCGGATAATTTAGTGTAGAGAAGTCAAGTGGCATGTTCTTTAGTGTTTGAGGCAATAAATCTCACAAGCACATGACATGTTATTTTTTCCTAGTAAAGGACTAACTGTAAGCAGCTTTACCTTAACAAAACTCGTAGTTTTTCATTGATTCAAGACATATCAAGCATTTGTATATACTTATCTAGTTTCTTTTTCTCTCTTCCATTCTGTAGCTTGTCAAATTCAACTACTTCGTCAATTGCTTCACATTCTAAGATCCTAAGTGGGGATATGGAGCTTTTCAAGTCAAAGAGAGAAAAAGTTCTCCATTTTAGGACAATTTTTCCAATGAGCATTACTCTTACTTTAGATGCATATAGAGATTGTCAAAGTAGTTTGTAATGAACTTTATGTTCCTCTTCCAACTTGCTTTATACAATGCTTCCCCACTTATTGTGCTTGCGCCTTGCCACTAAATATTGGGAGTAGATAGGTATTAAATGTTACGTTCAGATTGTTAAATATATACATAGACCAAATGAAGGAATTGACCAGGTGCTAGGCGCTACTCTACGAGTATAATATATTATTTGTACCCTGGAGACTGATGAAAGATGGGTATTAACTATTATCAGGTTTCTTAAACGCACTTCCTGATGTGTATAATCAAAGAGTCTTATATCATGGGTCTCTTTATAATAATATCTAACATTTGAATCTTCTTAATATTCCAAAACTTGCCGAATCTGCATACCATTTGAACTGCTTTTTGTTTGATTAACTTATTAGACCTTGTGCTTTATTTTGTTGTTGTTGCTATTGTAGGTTTCAATGTCGAGAAAGTTCAGTATAAAAATGTGATTTTCACAGTCTGGGATGTTGGTGGGCAACAGAAATTGAGGCCCTTGTGGAGGCATTACTTCAACAATACTGATGGATTGGTAAATTTATTTATTTATTTTGGATTCCTATTCTTATATTTTCTTTCCTATGCTTTTTATTTTTTCTGCTTGTAAGCTATTGCTATGGCCCTGTGTGGGGTCTTCGTTTGTTTGGTAAATAATCCTTCTTTAGCACATTAGAAACTGCTTTGATTTTCAAAAGCAAAGTTTAGATTGTGTTGGCCATTAAAGAATTGAAATCTATGACATTACGGATGCTTTGATTTTGTGACAGAATATTGTGCTCTCTTGAGTTGCTACAACTTGTGCTTCGGGCCATGTTAGGAGCCAACACTTAGACATTATGAGTGGCAGTTTGTTTCACTCTAAGCCAACAGAACCAAACTTAACCACTTTTACATCTATAAATGCAGGCGATTTATAGCTTATGGGATGCATATATGAATGTAATTGCCAAAAGCAGTTGTGTAGTATGTGGCATAAATCCAAATCTCAATAGATATCTTATCTAGACCCGAATATCTCATGGTTGGCCTAATTATACTTATATAAGAACTCTCCAAATCTTAATAGAGACCTAAGGCTTTATATCTTCGTTAGAGTTAATTCCATTTTGCCTTTTTGGAACAATTTATGGTATATGTTATTATTTTGTTAATGCATCTAACTTAATCAAAGTTGGTATATCTCTTATCCCTTAACATAGCTATTTTATATATCTTCTTTTTACTTATGAAGTTCCCAACTTATTATATAATTATACAAATGCTGCTCACTTTCCTATTTGCAAAGCTTCTAGCACATTTATAATAATTGTAACACAATGATATTTAATTTCGGCCACTCCTTAAATGCACATTACTTTTCTTTTATAATTTTTTTAATATCCTCATTCCACCTATTAATCTTTATTTTGCTCAATAACCTAGTATGAAGCCTTTCATATTAGCTCATACTACTAGATCCTATACATTAATTAAAGCAACCTTTAATAATTATGTTTTTTTCCTTAGAAATACATTTATAGTAGTTCATGCATTTTCTTTTAAATTAGCATAAGCATTAATCTCATTTATGGTGACCTCAAAGTTAATTAACTTTATATCAAACATCCAATCACTAATCTTTTTCAACTCAACAATTTGTTCTCTAACCTCCATCTACTATCATTCTTATTAAACCTCTCATATTACAATAACTTATAATATTAGTCAATGTCTCACCTATTCTGACCTTTTCATTTAGTTTCTTTTAAACATAAGATACTATCTTCTTCTAATCATTTTGTTTACCAAGTGATGTAGAACGGAATTGATGGCAGCCACCAAAACAAAAGAACCCAAGTGCAAAAGGCAAATTTTTTTATTATAATTCCATCATCTCCTAATACAAGAGCAAAGGCCTCTATATATAGGCCTTAAAAGAAACTAAAAGACAATTTTGCCCCTTGGGCTTACATAAAACAAATCCCTTAAGTAAGGGTAAAAAAGAAAAATGCATAATTAAATAAAAATTACAATTAATAAAATAAGATAAAATGAAGGGATCTTGGTCGTCGATCTTCAGCTCCTCCTCGGATAGGCATGGACGGTTGGATGTCCGCATCACCAAGTCTCTTTCCTTTCCATCCAAAATCCTCATATTTAATGCAATAAAATATTATCGTAATTTTAGACAAAAAAATATTTTACCCATATTTCACCACAATTAGCTAAGAGATAGATAGAGAAAGGGAATGATAATTAAATTTGGAGAAAGATTTATTTGGTACATAATTGACTTAGAAATTAGAATGATACAATTTATGCTTAATTTGTATCCAACATACATCCATAAGGTGCCATATAGTTCCATAAATTTTTAGAAAACATGAAGGACTTGAATGTGCTGGTATTCAAGTGTTTTATTCATCTAACCTTCTTGAGTTTTCCATGCTTCATAACTCAAATAAGAAGCTGCTAAAGCTTCAAATTGTACGTTTCTTTATTGCAGATCTATGTGGTTGATTCTTTGGACAGAGAAAGAATTGGACAAGCCAAAGCCGAGTTTCAGGTTTTTAGCCCTTTACTTTAGTCTATTTGTTTGATAAACTTTATAGACATTATTTTATCTGTATCATCCGTTTTATGTCTATTTTTTCTCCCTTGGACTGATCTGTTATTTAATATTTTTTCTCAACAGGCAGTTATCAATGACCCCTTGATGCTCAATTCTGTCATACTAGTATTTGCTAACAAGCAGGACATGGTAAGTTACACTGTACCTTTTACACACCCAGAGAGAGAGAGAGAGAGAGAGAGAGAGAGAGCGCTAACCTATCCTAACTATTTTAGTTAGGTTTACAAATCCTTATTTTCCATTCAAACAATTGTATGCCATATCTAATAAAGTTTTTCCCAACACCAAAAGCGATCCACGCAGATCACTTTGATCTATTGGCTCTCAACCAAGAGGTCTTCGATTTGAGTCTTGCGTATGTGATGTGTGTGTGAATTTATCTTAATTCGCCTAAATGCCCCCATAAAAAAAAAAAATCATCTATGCCAACATTTTTAAGCATCCGGGGGATATGAACATAACATCACTGTTTAATTTTTCCCATAATAATAATTTTTTTTAATCATGCCCTCGCCTATGAACATCAAACATACCTCTTTTTCATTTTAGTGATGCATGAATCAACAAATTGAAGTGCTTTTCTTGCATATTCTTGATGAGCCAGCATTTATATATAGATGTAGGAGGATTTGTTTGTGAAGCAATAAGCCCCTTTGATGTCTCTTCATTTACAAAGAATTCTCGACGTGAAAGGCAACGTTTTGCTCAAGATTGTTAAGAATAAAATGCATGCCGCCATTCATGCATCACTAAAATGAAAAAGAAAAGTTTGTTGGTATCATAAATTCGGAGGGTGAAGCAGACTAGTCTTAGAGTTCACATATTAAATTCCTGAAAATAATTTCCTTACAATGCTAGGATTCTACTAACTAAATTAACTCATCAGGCTATGCGTTTGGATTAATTATTTTGTGCAGACGCCGAATGCCGTCCGGAGGCCAATCAGAATGCGCCATATCACCCTGTGCTCGGTACCGCGGCTCGGTACTACTCGGTACCTCTCTGTACTGCGGCCTGGTACCGCTGATATGGCACATTCTAATTGGTCTCCAGATGGCGTTCTACGTCCGGTCTCGGCACAGAATAATTTCTCATGCGACTGACCTTATATTTTCTTCTTATCAGAAAGGCGCAATGACTCCAATGGAGGTCTGTGAGGGCCTAGGCCTCTATGACCTTAAAAATCGAATATGGCACATTCAAGGAACATGTGCCCTTAAAGGTGATGGCCTTTACGAGGGTTTGGACTGGCTGGCAAGTACACTGAAGGAACTACAAGCTTCTGGACGCCCAACTTCCATTGGCACTTCAACATTCTGATAGCAAAATTAAAGGTATATTGATCTGTCTTCTTCTTCACATAAAATCTCCTTCTTTTCCAACTTTCTGAAGCATTTTTGCGTCATTTCATTGGAGCCTTACATGCTTGAAGTTCTTTTTTATGCCTTTGCAGAATCTCTGAGATCTTCAGGCACGCGATATGCTCCCATGGATGAGGTCGCATGTTTGAGGTTTTTGTGTATGGAGTGTGTAAATTACTTAAAAAAAGAAATGGAATTTTGTTTATTATCACTAATATTTTATGAGGGTTTTTTTTTAAAAATCTTTTTGTGTAAATAGACTAATTGTTTTGGGATTTATTAAATTCTGAAGTTGATTTTTTTTCTGGAAATATTGTATTTGTATGAATTGGAATGTGAATGAGGCATTCTGGAAGTAATCTTTTTTGCTGGTTTGTGAGATAAAGGTGCATCTGAGGAATTTTTATTTGGTCCGGTGTAAGGATGCAGAGGAATATCCGGTTGTAGGCAAAATCCCGCCTATACAGAGGTGTACCGAGTTTTTCCAGTTTTTGGAAAAACTCGGTACACATCGGTATAGGCGGGATTTTGCCTACAACCGGATGTTTCTCTGCATCCGGTCGGAGGACGTAATAATTGTTCGCATCTCAGAGACATCTTCTATCTTTTTATGCGGCAATTCATTCTGCACATAATTAATTTTATATTATTTTCCTTTCAAATATAAATTTAGATCTTCGATCTTGATTGATTTGTAATTTATGAATAATTTGATAATTTAAAGTTTGTTTGATGTAATTTTCTTACGATTTTTAAAGCAATTTTTTATATAAAAATTTCAAATTCAAAATATTTTTATATTAAAAAATTGCTTTAAAAACAGTAAGAAAATACTCTCAAAGTAAACCTAATGTTTTGTTTGGGACAAAAATTTTTTTTTTTTACATTAAAAAATAGAAGATTTAAATTGGAAGGCATCGAATAATCTTAATCAAGAATTCATATTTAATCAAATCAATGATGAGTAGTTTAGTCAAATCTTGTCAAGAAACTCTAGTTTATATAATATATGAGCTATAATATGAACTTGAGCTCAATCTTATAGCACCGTAAACCTGACCTATAAGCTAATAAGTTCAGTTTAAGTCATCTCATGAGTAGAAATCTAAATAAAAATATAAAACTATTCACATATTTATTTATTATAGTAAATTAAAATATCTTAATATTTTTATGCTCGTAGTGTTAGCAATAAACTCGATATTAAATGATTACATGAGAAGTTTTTTTTTGATATCACGAATTGGTGCTTGAAATGAAATCTATGTATTTTAATATGATGAAATATTATATTAAGACAATTTGATATGTTTCAAGGTTATATTTATACAATTTAATAATAATTTTTTATTCAACCTTTGATTTTTATTAAATTACACCCAATGTTTTTCTTATTACTATTTATTCAAATCTGGCTATTGCTATTGCTGTTTTGCAATGAAATTGTGTGCATTTTATAATTATTTTTTATTTTTCGACAAATAAAATAGTGATTTTGCTTGAAAAAAATGCCAATTTTAAGCCCTTCTTTTTTACTTTTTTATTTTCTTTTTAACACTCCACTCGCCTTACACGTGTACAGTCCTTCCACTTTACAGTTGTCTCTTTTAACCTCTTTCCATGACGCAAAAAACGATTAGAAAAAGCTCCGGCGTCTTACCGTTTTCGTATCCAACACGTGGCCAACGGTTATATTTTTTGAATTCAAATCAATAGAGGAAAAAAAAAAAAAAACTCAAGGGGAGCGGCTTGCTACTACCTCGCCACAACGGTCATATTTTTAAACGGAGCTCAATTTCAATGCTTTTATAAAGGCAACCTTCCACTGTCCTCTTCTTCTTACAATTCTTTCTCACTTACTTCTTTCAGAGAGATTATACGCCTTCTCCATGGATTTCCATTCCCTCGCCAGAAGAGACTTGCAGTTCCTCTGCAAGAAGAACCGCGTCCCTGCCAATTTGACCAATGTGGCCATGGCCAAAGTCCTGGAAGCCCTTGAAACCGTAAGTCCCTTTCTGTCCTCTCCTTCTCTCCGTTTTAAATTTTTATACCTTCTCACCCTTAATTTTGAAATCTAGTTAAAAAGATTTCTCAAATTTAAGGCATTATTCTCCATTTGAAACAGGTTGAGGGGATCGAGGAGATCCAAGAAGCCCTTGGATTCCAATCTTCCAAGATAAACTCGCCGGAGTTTCCTCATTCTTGCCGGAGGACCTCTTCACGTGGACTCACGCATGGAGACCAGCCTAAGATTCAGGAGCAGCAGCAGCCGAGCCCTTTGTCCGGGTTGCACCAGGTGACTATTAAAAATATGGAGATCGCAGAACTGGCACCCCAGGAGGATGGGATCCAAGAAACCCTTGGATTCCAATCTCTGAGCTTAAATTCACCGGGGCTTCCTCGTACGGGCAGGAGGGCCTCTGTTCGCAGAGCCGCCTTTGGAGACGAGCCCAGGATCCAGCACCAGAAGCCAAGCCAACTTTATCGATCCCGTCTGGCAGCAGCCAAAGACTTGGAGGTCACAGAAATGGCCTCCACCGAAGAGGAAGGGGAGAATAAAGAAATTCCAACTATTTTTCCCAAGACTCCGACAACAAGGAAAGCCGCTAATGGAGTGGAAGCTCGGAGCTCGAGGAGAAGGGCTAATAAGAATAAAGAAATCGAAGGTCAGACTGAAACCCCAACGACAGTTGAAGCGAAGGGAAGGAAAGCAATTGGCGTGGCTACTCGCCGAAGCACCAGATTGTCTTCAAGAAAGGCATTGGAAGAGACGGCCACTACTCAGTCTAAGAGTAGAAGCAGCAGGAGGGAGAATTCGGCTGTTAAGATGGAACTTTTGGCTAAAGAGGATACAGTGGAACAGGAAAAGGAAGAAAAGATGGAAGGTGAAATTTGCTAATTAGTTTTTGATGATTTCTTTTCTTCTCCTTTTTCCTTTTTTTTTTCAGTTTAATAGGGGTTTTGATGTTGCGGTTCTCTTTCATGTAGATCGTGTCGGGTATGGCAATTCGTGTGCTGTTATTGTTGAAGAACATGGAAAGATGGATCAAGAAGCGGAAAGTTATGAGTTTTCTTCTTTTATAAATGGAGAGAACTCAAAGAACGAAGTTGAAAATGAATGCGAAGCCACCTATGAATTTGTGCCCATGATCCAACAGCAGCAGCCCAGCCTGTGTCCTCGGTCGCACCAGGTAACCACCAAAGCTCAGGAGGTCACAAAAATGGCCTCGAAGGAGGTAGATGACAAGAAAAAAGCCCCAAAGCTTTTGTCCAATACTCGTCGAAACACACGGTTGTCATCTAGGAAGACGGTGGAGGAGAAGAGTGGAGAGCACGGGATTGTTAAAATGGTGGCTTTAACTGAAGAGTATGCAGAGGAGCAAGCGAAGCAAGAAGAGAAGAAAGGTGAGGACTTGTAATTGGTCTTGATAAATTTTTTGTTTCCTATGTTTTTTGTTATGTTGTGTTGATTTATTTATATTATATAAGTAGATCTTTCCGAGAAAAGCGATTACTGTGCTGTTGATCCTGTTGAAGAAGACGAAGAGAAGGATAAAAAACAAGAAAGTCATGGCTATTCTTCTTCTATTGAAGTCGAAAAGGGCGAATCCATTGTTGCACTTGTTGAGGAAGTCGAAGAGAACGGTAAACAAGTAGAAATCCATGGCTTTTCATCTTCTGCTCAAGGGGAGGAGACGAATAATGTAGTCGAAAATGGCAATTCAGCTGTTGTAATTGTCGAGGGAGATGAAAAGAGCGATCAAGAGCTAGAAATCCAGGCCTTCTCTCCTACAATTGAAGGAGAATATTCAAATTTAGAACGAACGAATGACGATCCCAATGTTCTTCTAGTTGAGAAAGAAGGAAGGAACGATCAAGGAGAAAGTTCTTTTTTTGTTGGGGAGAACTCCAAGGTCAAAGTCGACGAACCGTTCGAGTCTACGGAAGATGAGTTTGTTCAAGTTTCCGGCGACCAGTCGCCAAACACTAAACTTGTGGGAGAGTCCAACAACCTGGAAAGTGAAGTTTCCGGCGACCTGTTTCCGGCAAATGATGAAGTGGAAGATTCCTGCGACCATTCCTCCGACGTCAAATTGACAATTTCTACCGTTTCGGACAGCTTTCTTTGCAGTGAGATGCGCCCGTTGATCCACGAAGCCATTGTTTGTACCCAAGGATACCGTAAGCTCGATGAGGAGGAAGAGGGACAGCTTAGTATGCTCTTCACCGAGATGACTCTAAAAGAACCGGAGGAAAGTGATGCTTCGCTGGAACCAGTGATAGCTCAGGAAGCCTCTTTTGCCCCCACAAAGTTGCCGGCGGGAATGGTGATACCTCAATATGCCGACATTGTTTTCTCTAAAGATGATTGCTCCTCGCCAGATTTGCCGTCCGCACTGGATGTCCTTCGGCTCCATTATGAGAACGTTGATGCTATAACTAATCTTGGTTATGAGATCTCCGCCATGGATGCCATCAGAGAATCACCGAAAGAAGTAAAGGAATCAGACATCGATTTATCAAGAAAAATTGCTGCTGTTTCTGAAGAATCAATCGACGCTGACCTCCTAGACGCTGGAGATCTTATCACCAATGGTTCCGTTGATGTACAAGGTATTGAGTCCCGGATTCTGGTTTGTTCTAATGATTTTTCGGCCGCAGATCCTACCATTGGATTTCCGGACGATGTAAAGAAGAGCAGCGGACATTTCCCCACTGAATTACCGGAGGTGATTAAGGAATCATTTGAAGATAACCTTATGGACTTCAGCGAACTCGCCGCCAATGACTTCGTAGGTGAAACTTTGGAAGGTTCCTTTTTTGAGCTGCAGATTCCTGTTTCTTCTTCTGAGCTATGCCCTGAGTTCTCAACCATATATTCTACAATCGAATTGGCTAGCGTCGATCACCTAAGAGAAATCCCTGATGAATCGGTTGAAGATTACCTCCACAAACTTGTCACCAAAGATTCTTTCAATGTGCTTTCCGAAGGCGGCTCTTTCGAGCAGCATAGTTCTGTTTCCTGTGCTGAACTTTGCTCTGACTTGTCAACGGTAGATTCTTCCATTGAATTCAAGGCGGCTTTGGGAGATCTACCCAGTGAAATCTCTGCTTTAATTGATGAATCAGTTGAAGCTGACCTCCCCAACTCCGACGAACTCACTGCTGAGAACTCACATCAGATTCCAGTTTCTTCCACTGCTGAAATCGGCGCTGCCATCAATGCCCCTACCATTTCTTCCACTCCCAAGCTTCCATGCGAGTCAGAATCCATGTTTCTGAAGGAGCTATCAATAGTTCAAACTCAGTCATCTGAAGAAACTGGCATGGCTGCGACTGAGACCAAGACCAAAGAAGCCTTGGAGGAGGAGGTTTACCTCAAAGACGATAACTTGGAGCTTTTGAGTTTGACGAAACTTAGGGCAATGTACAAACATATACTGAATGGTTCAAAGACAGAGGTAATTCAGTTGTTTTCAAATTCATTTATATCGCAAGTTTTGTTCTCAGCTTTATCTCCCTTACTTCTTTGGTTCCGTAGCAGGAGAGGAAGAAATCTACGATCAAACCAGAAGATTTGGAGCGTTTGAGCAGCATCAAACAAGATGAAGATTGCAAGCAGAAGATGAATGATGACATGATTAAGGTACTCGCAATCTTCCTCAATTATTTTTTTAGATTGACAGACCATATTTTATCGGACAAAATAGATCTAACACCTCGTACTTCTACTTGCAGTCGGAGAGCAAGAAATCTGTGATCAAACAAGAAGACTTGGAGTGCCTGAGCCGCAGCAAGCTTGATTCAAACAAGCAAAAGTTGAATGACGATAAGATTAAGGTATCTGCAGAACCCATCTTGATGGTATTTTGATGATTTGAAATTAATATATGAAGTTGAATAACTCTTTTTTTTGTTCAAATGCAGTCGGAGAGAAAGAGAACTCCGCTCAAGAGTCTGAATTACAGCACTTTCTGATGTGTAAAGATGAAGACTGCATTATGATGAGATTGATCTAATTAGTGTTATGTTTTAGATTGTTAGGGCTGTGAAACCAAGGTTTCTCCAGCCACTATTTGATCATATCTTTATCTTGAACTCAACTAGGAATCGATAGTAGTTTGAGAAGTTTTTTTTTTTTTTCAGCAATGAGTAAAATGTTGAGTTTCATTCTTTAATTATGTGCCTGTGGCCCTGTGCTCTCCATGACATCTTGGTGCTTGGCTTGTGGACTATAGTAGAATTCCTTAAATTAAAAAAATGAAATTATTGTGTACATAAAAAGATGGCGCCAGGTGCATAAATCTCCCTCATTTTTAGGAGATATGCACATCTTAAACACTCAGAAAGCTTTGATCCTGAACTATAAATTTTTATGCTAAAAAAATTCTTTAAAAAACAGAAAAAAAATTAACACTACAAATTTTATTTGCAAAGCCCTCATTCCTCCATGTTTGCTATCAAAATTCTCACTTAGATTTTCCCTTTTATGTTATTAGAATCTGCTTTCTTTCATTATATTGGGGATCTATGCAATGGTGTAGCGTGCTAATGGGAGGAATCTGAATTTTTCTCTTTTGATAACGCCCTAAATGTGACTTAAGATGAACTAAAGATACGCTGGTAAAGAGTATTGGTTAATAGGACTCATGTGTTTTTAGACTTTGTTAAGGACGATTTTCTTTTTGCTTCTTAAAATATTCTTTTAATATATTTTTTTTACACTACTAAATTGTTTTAATAAATAGTAAAAAAATCGTCTCAAATAAATATTACTCTCTATGTATGAATTGCTTAAACACTTATTTTTTGAATGCCCCATTTCTATTGTTGATTGCACCTTCTCTCAAGTACAGCTGCATGCATCCTCTTTTTCTAGCAAAATCATGAGGAAATTCTTCTCGCTTGCTTTGCAAATCTCACCATAACTGCATTTGAAGGGAAAGGTATAACATCATTTCCTGGAATGACAGAATACCTAAAATAAAAGCAGGAAATGAGTTGTCATGGACTCTTTGCCCGCAGAAATTAAAGACCTATCAATTATACCTAATGAAGTTATAACACATACATGTCTCGCTGCTTCTATATGACCAATATTTCCTGATAGAGGACCGTTTCTTTCTTTGCTTGATGCAGCTATGGATATATATTTTGCTCTTCAATTTACTCTGATTTGCAAGAGATTATTACGCACAGAGTCCTGACCCAGAGAACCGTTCGGTTTTTTGACTGTGAATAGTAACTACTCTTTCTGTTCACAATCACAAAATCGAACAGTTCTCTAAGTCTGAACTCCGCATTCTTTTTTTTTTTCCTCTGACGAAGGAATGTTATTTATCTATTCTGCTTTTAATGGCTGCATGCTTGGATACAACTGCAAGAACAAATAGATGGCTAGAAACTTAACAATATTCAGCCTAATAGTGATTTGCATCTCTGCGCCTTTCAATCTATATAAGCAAAGTTTTGTAACTTTGTGATGTTTATATTATAAGCTGTCTTCCTATACCCGCTAACTGTACCTTCGACATTTTTATTGTGATTACTGCACAACCTTGGATTGTAGTTGTGATTTCGCTTGGAAAACTTCTGAGCTCTGTGACTTCTGATATACGCCTTCGTAGCTTTGAGATTTTTATTATAGTTGCTTTCACTACCTTGACGATAACTATAATATCATTTGAATTACTACTGGAAAAATAAAATTTAATGTAAATAAAGACAAAAGCAAGGTTCTTAGTGTCATCTCAATCTAACTAATTTTCTTTTGACACTTAGGCTTCAGTTGGGACAGCTTTCTTACTGCTGCTTAAAAAATTGCTTTAAGAAACCGTAAGATAAGCGTCCCAATTGAAGCCTTTGTTTCTAACAATTGTTGCCCAAAGTTTTAAATATTTTCTCATTTCTGCTACTTGCAATGAAAAGATACTTCAAAATTATAGTATTATATAAAAAAGAAAATTGAAAAATGGGAGTAAATTCTCTTACCAACTCTTGATTGATTGTCCTTTGCACAATGAGGGTGAATATTCTCATATTCAATGAAGCTTCTCATAATGGAGCTGTAATCAGCTGTAATGTCTTCCATTACATATAATCAAAACTTAGACTTCAGTGAACTTACATTAATTACAAGAAATCAAGTATTAATTTTTTTGTTTTTAAAATTCTTTCACCAAAATTTCAATCAAATCTTCTATTTCATCATCAAATAATGTGAAATTTACTTAAAAACTTGAAAAAAATATGAAGCGATAGTACCAAATAGGCGAAAAAAAAGTACCTTGAAATATGTTTGACACCTCAGCGGGTCTGAGCTTCCAGGTGACGCTGCGCAAAGGCCATTCCTGCCCTGCAGAAAGCATATATACAAGCGTTTATCGACATATAAGAAATTGAAAAAGTAGACATAGCTGCACCAGTTTCAGCTTTAGAGCTTGAACAATAGCAAGCATAAAATATTAACATACATGTCAGAATAAGGATAGAAAATGAATGAAAAAAGCATCCAGTTTTAAACATCAGTAACTGAAGCACATATTGACAAGAAAAGCATCACATGGCTTCGTTTGGGATGGCTTTCTTGCTACTTCTTAAAACAACTTTCTAATAAAAGAGTTAAAATTTTTGTACTCGAAAGCTGCTTTAAAAAGCAGTAAAAAAACGTCCCAAACGAAACCATAACCAACCAAACGCTAAGAAAACTTGAGAAACTTAACGCGAAAAGCTTGCAAGTAGATCAAAATTAACAAACAAAGTGAACATGCACTCAATAAATCAAGAAGCACAGCATCTTCGATGCACGCTAAGCTTCAGAAATATGAAAAGGATAAAAATCTTAAAGAATAAACAAAAATGGCCATCTTTCAGTTAATTGAGACTCTGATGAGAAAATCTGTTGAAATAGCACACCTGAAACTAAATGCAAGTACTGGATATATGATTGGTATCATTAAAAAATGACAGTATAACTCTTATGTACTTCTCTGTCCAGATTTCAATCAACAATATTTATGAAAAGCTGTCGAATAAACCAGAGATTGTTTTTAAGGAGCAACAGTTTGATTAACAAACATAACACAAAATTCTTTCATAATTCAAGTCTATCACAAATGACAAACACCAAATCTTCAAACTACAACAACAACATCAAGCCTTTGTCCCACTGTGGGGTCGGCTACATTAATCCTTTTTCTCCATTGTATCCTATTAAAAGTCAAATTCTCGTTTAAATCTAATAAACAAAGATCATTTCTAATATTTTCTGACAAAGTCTTTTTAGGTCTACCTCTACCTTTCTTAACATAAGTAAAATATAATACCTCTACTTTCCTAACAAGGTCATTGGAAGGCCGCCGTTTTATGTGACCAAACCATCTAAGGCGACTCTCTCTAATCTTATCTTCCACTGGCGCTAAGCAGCAAAAATCTTTAGGGTGATTAATAAACATACCACAAAATTCTTATATATTTACACATCTAACATTTAAATTTTTATATCATTTATATAACACTCAAATTTCTAAATCACATAAAAACCCACTGAAATTAACTCATTTAAATAAAAGCATGAATTACACATTTTCATGCATATGCTTTGATATAATTTAGGCACTAAAATGATATATAAATAAATGAAAAGATGTAGATGTTAGATATGTGGATGCATAAAAATTTTGTGATATGAACATAAATCCCCCAAATCTATAATCAGTGTAACTTAACAAAAATAAGCCTTACAAAGGGCCCAATGAAAGATAAATACCTGGATTCTAAAACTGATATCCCGCACCAGCATCTGTAAGTGGAATAGATGTGCATTAAAAATGATGTTTCATCAAGCAAAAACGAGGTGCTGACATGTTGTTAAAACTTAAGGCTGAACACATATATCTAACACAAGTAATTTGATTACAAAAAAAATTTTCCATAATACAAATGCAGAATTAAGGTTTCGTTTGGGATGGCTTTCTTGCTGCTTCTCAAAGCAACTTTCTCGAACAAAAATTAACTTTTTGTACTAAAAAATTACTTTAAGAAGTAGTAAGAAAGCCGTCACAAATGAAGCCTAAATTTGGTGCAACTCATCCAACATTCACGTTACAATATATGATCGCGATCGCTGGAAATAACAGCTCAACATATAAGTTTTGAATTGACTGAAGGAAAGCAGATGTAATGAAATGAAATCTCAATAATATTTAACGTTTTTAACCTTATTTTTCATTTCCTTTCACTCAAATACCTAAATTCCAAACACAGCCATAAGGTTAAAACTGCATATTCAAAACTAATGCTATTACTAGGTTTACATAATATGATCTAAATAGGCAAACAAACACTCAAAGTGTTTCTTTATGGAAGCAGACGAAAACATTAAAAAAAATCAAAATACATTGTAGGAGCAACATAGACTACAAAAACAGTAAGAGATAGCACAGCATATGCATTATTAGTTGAGCCTCCTCCTCTTACGAGTATGGAGGGCTCCTCCATCAACATCAGATGAACCAGAAGCACTGCTTCTCCCTCTCCTTCTATATGGCCTGGAAGATCCTGCACTATTAGGCTCTGCTGAAGCAGCTCTAGCAGAACTTTCACCTTGTATGACAGCCACAGTGCTTGATGCGGATGCTTGATCTGCAGTTGCCGCTACTCCAGCATTCCGTCTGCTAGAAAATTGGTCTGGATTTGGAGCATTGGCTGAAGAAGTAGAAGGCCCATATCGATTGCTGTTACTCGCAAATCTGCCAATTGCTCTGCCAATGTCAGCTGTTACACCAGCTAACCTATCATTGACAGTATAACCATACAATCTTTGCCAAATATCATTTCCCTCTTGGAAAACTAAGGCTGGTATTGATGAACTATCTCTGGCGAACCTAACATCCTCGGCATTGGGAACATTTCCAGTAGCACCCTCTTCTCTGTGCAGTCTTCGTGTCATAGACCTAGTAAGAACTGCATGGGATCCCCCATTCAACATTTCCTGCACAATGGCATCTTCATGACCACCAATTCTGCTCCTATTGCGCACCTGGTGATTCAGAAGGCGCCTCCATGAATTTGGAATACCATCTCCAAACCTTCGTGTGATAGGCCGCATATGTTGCCTCCAACTCTCTAGGCGATTGCCACGCGGCCTTGGAGGAATTTTCAGGTCCGGATCAATGTTAGATGTGTCTGTCTTCTCAGTATCCAATTCTGAGCTACCTCTCCCATAAATAGGAACAATGTTAGCTTCAGTCACCTCTCCCTTACATACCGGGCATTCCTTATTATCAGAATGAACATGAAGCCATTGGTACAAGCAGGACCAGCAAAACAGATGACCACAAGAAGTAACAACAGGTTCTTTCGCCATATCGAAGCATATATTACATTCAAAATTGGCAACACTTTTATTCTTTAACTCGGTATCGTCCTCTGAACTCTCTGAGATCACAACCTCAGCACCTACCTTATGTTTCCCATTAGTTTCCAATGACCTCTGTGAATTCATAATGTCCTGCATCAGCTCAGTGGGACTTGGCGGAGACGGTCTAGCAAAATTAGACCTTTCATTCCCATATGAAAGTGAAGATCTAAACCGCCTGAGGCTATACTGATGTGATTCTATCAATCTCCTAATCCTAAACTCAGAAGACCGAAGTAATTCCCGCTGTGAAGATGACCCATCACCTCGAGCAGTGAAACTGCCACCAATATGGAGCGGAATAGAAGAAAGAGGAGCAAACCTTTCATCTTCATGCATATTTACTGAGCCTGGAAGATAAGGCGGTGAGTAAGGTGGATGAGAACCACTGCCCTCAGCATAAGAATCATCAACAAGATTGATAGGGGATCCATCCTCCGAAACGGCCGGGGTAACTATATCCCTCTCTTCTGTCTCACCAAGCTCTTGCTCAATCGGCAAAGCATGGGCATTAGACGGAGAATAAGGCACGCTCGGTCCTTCCGTCACAAAGGGTTCATAGGATGGGAAACAAGGTGTATACTCATGTATCGGATTCACATCAGCAGGTGCCCTGAACCCAGCCAGTAACACATCCTCTCCAATCGCAGCATGAGAAGGGGAGTAAGGAACATTAGAAGCTGAAGCTTCCATCGCGGCACCAGACACAGCTTCAAGAGCTCGGCTTTCTTCAGAATTAGACGAAATCGAAATCGGCAACGAGCTCAGAGCGAGATCGGAGCCGAGGTCAAGGCTGCGGGGGCGAGGAGAACGAGGAAGACCTAGATACAAATTCAGATCCATGTTACCAGCTCTGTTCTCACTTCCCTCATCGGCCATGCCCTTCTTCCCAAATCCCTAATCGGCAAAATCCCACCTTTCACACCGCGTCAACGATGAAAAGTTTAAAAACCCTAGAGAACCGCATCCCTAAAACCCGAACTTTCAACATATACAGCGCGGGCGCCATCGATCAACATGCATAGAGCACTAGCGTTAGGATAAGGGTTAGGGCTAGGGTTTTGTAGGCGTCGTACCTGGATATTGGTGATCATATCGGCGATACGGCGAAGCATCCGCTCCCGATCTCGGTCGCGGATAGGGAGATGAGGCAAAGATAAATAAATAGATTGCGAGAAGAGGTAACAAATGTGAAATCTGGATATTGCAATGACTAATATGTAAATATGTAGCGTCAGAGACGTGTGAACTCGTCTTCCGACGTTGGGTTCGACGACCTGATCTACCGTCCGTTTGTGATCTAACGGCTCTGGTTGGCCATATTGTGGTTGGGGTGGGCGACGGGCAAATTCGGCGTCCTTTCTTCGACTTTAACGTATGCGAATAGGTATCGAAAATTTTCAAAGTAATAAGCTTTGGTTAGGTCCACTTATTTCAGTGGGATGAATAAAAAAAAATGGGAGATAAAAATAATGTGTGTAGGTATCACATATTAAATAATAAATGATTGAGAAGCCTTCAATAAATTTAACTTACATGCAAGGGCGGAATTGTGAACTGCTCATAGAGGGGGAGGGGAAATGCTCCCTCTAAAAAAAACGTGTAATAAGGATTATTTGTGATCTGTCTCCCTGAATTTTATTTTTTGCCCTGAGCCGACCTTTTTTCACGTAATTTGCTCCTCAAAAATCAGAAAGCTTCTTGGCCTCCCGCTATTTTCATTTGATTAGGTTAAACTCTTCTAACATTAACAAACAAGTCTGTTAAAAATCAATAATTATTTATTATATAACTATCATATTCACACAACATAGACAATATAATTGCAGTTTTATTAAAATTATATTTATTTTTTATAACATTTGTTTATTATATGATATATACTTGCCTTGATTTTAGAATTTATATTAATTTTCTTTTATATATTCAATTTATATAAATGCAATACACTTAGATAATAGTGTTTTTATTTTATTTTACAATAATGTTGTGTGACACTAGCCAATATCATATACCATACATATTTACAATAAATATTTGATCTAATAATAATAAAATTTAAAATTCTCTCTCTCTCTCTCTCTCTCTCTCTCTCTCTCTCTCTCCGTATATATATATTCTCTTATTAACAAATTAGCCAATCAAAATTTATTTTGTGAAACTTCTTAGTTAAAAGGCTGAGATATCTTCGAAAGAGTTGCACCAATTTGTTTATTTTGAATGCTAGTAGTAAGTAGTCATCTCATTGCCAAGTATGTTTGGTAGTACTCAATAGTTTTAGGAGAGGTGATGCCTAAAAAAAAAAAAAATGAATAAATAAATAAATAAATAAAAAGTAGAGGTGATGCCCAACAAAATAATGAAGAACAAAATTTTTATAATTATTAATACAACACTTAAATTTCTAAATTATACAAAAACATATTATTAATATTAACTAATATGAAATTTTTAATGCATATTGTTGCGGGCTAGAATATACGCAACGGTAGAGTTAAAAAATTTCCGTCCGAGCGTTGTACGAATATTCAGCACACAAACAAGAAAGGAAAATAAACACCATGATTTTTATGTGGAAAACCCAAAAAAGGGAAAAAATCACGAGGTCTCGCCCAGTTGAAATGATTCCACTAGTGTTTTGTTTGAGATACAAGGGACTGATTCGTCTAACTAGTTTAAGACGATCAGATTACAATGAATTTTTCCTGAATTGAGATTCAATTACAAAGTTGTGCAGAATTCCGGCATCACCCGAATATCCGGCAGAATTCCGGCGTTATTCCGATGGCGGGAAGAACTCTGGCAATGGTCGAGGAGGGGCTATTTCTCACACTCATTCTCTTCTTCTTCTTCTCCTCTACTTCTTGCTTGAGTTCGGTCCCCCCTCATGAGAAATGAGGGGTCTATTTATAGATTTTATGTGTGACATAACTCGTAAATAGGTGTGAGATCAAGGGCAAATAGGGAGTGGTCGAATGGATGGTCGATATTGAATTAATTCCTTGAACGTGCGCCGTTTGTTAGACATTTGAAGGTCTTAACGATGTCGGAATTCGGTGATCTTGAGCTCGTTGGATTCGTCTCATCGAGTCCTTCGATTTGACTATAAGCTCATTAAAATCAGAGACCGTTTGGTAACTCAAACTGTAGTATGAGCTTTCCAACAGCACTTCGGGTGCTTGATTTGGGCTCATTTGGGCTCGGGTCGAGTTGAATTTGGTGTCGTTGGGTTCGTATTAAATTGGAGTTCGGGAGCTCCCATATTTAATTTTTGAAGTTTCCGATTCATTTTCGCCTTGAGATTCGTGCTTGATCAATATAATTTTTTGAGAATATATCACATATATTTTGATATAGTCGATATACAACTCTAACTAGGAGCCTTATATAATTCTCACTATTTGGTTCTCCTTGTGTTTTGACCGTTTTGTTAATTTGAAGTTCTTTACTTTATAGGTGTTAAATTTGGCTAGTCATTGCTCTTTAGGCCTCTATGATTGAATTAGATATTCAAATCCTCTACAGTGAGAATGCGAGTTGGAATGAATATTATTATGAACATTGAGAATGAAATTTTGATTTGTGATGAGGATTGACTATCGTTTATGTTATATAACGTTTAAATATGAGATCAAAATCACAATTTTTCTTCAATATTATTAAAAATTTTAAAAAAAGTGAATAAGAGGACTTATAAAATCGCTCGATTTTCAAGGGAATGTATCAAAAATATTTTAATTGGTAGCTTTGATTATGTAAAAAGATAACTATATTTTTTATTTATAAAAACTTATATATATATATATATATATTAGATATGTCACCATAAAATCAACTTGATTGAGCATGAACCCTGACGGTACATTTGAATTGAAAACTTTCAAAATTAAATACAAAACCAAGCTAATACTGACTACCAAAAAGACTATATATTAGGTTGCACACATAAGAAAACAATATATATTAGGCATAATATTTTCTGGTTGTAAACTACATGAAATGTTTCTACTTACATTTGAATAATGATAGGTTAATTTGAACTAAGTATTCATAGAACGATGCCATTAGATAATTGCTTGAAGTTATCAATTCGATAAAGTCGTTGATTTGATTGAAAGATGTTGCCAACTTGACCAATGAAATCACTAACTTGACTAAAGTAAGGTTTTGTTTGAGATAATTTTTTACTGCTTTCTAAAATGACTTTTTAGTATGAGTATTAAAATTTCTTGAACTCGAGATTTTCGTACTAAAAAGCTACTTAAGAAAACAATAACAAAGCAGTCACAAACGAAACATAAATCGCAAACTTGCTTGAGTGAGCTTCTGAGCTTAGTCGAGTGCATCTCTATGAATCTTAGAGTTAGTTGGAGGTCCTAGCAATTGAGTTCATTATAAACTTGGCTAGCTCTTGTTAATCTTGATGAGTACATCATCTTCATTATTCCTTATTTGATCGAGTTATACTGAACTAGCTCGACTTAACTTAAACCAAATGTTTATAATATTTAAGTATGCATTATAGTAAAAAGAAAATAGTGATTCAACAACACAAGCTTAACAAACATAAAATATTTTCATCCAAATTCAAATGATCCTAAATCAAGCACTTGATATATAGTTGGAAACTTCTCATCACTATTTGAATACCAAATAGTCTCCAAATCTTGCATGCTTATAATCAACATGCGTTTCTAAATGAGGAATCCAATTGTGACATAATTAAGATACTTAAATGTTGGAAAAATAATCAATAATTGAGGGAATTAATATAGGCCATCCAATAGAGGGATTAAAGATTTTAGTTGAAATTACCAAAATATCATGCTAGAAAATTATAATTAGACATTCATTCTTCACATGAAAGAAACCTAAAAATAAATATTTGAGCTAGAGTTCAACTTGGAATAAAACAGAGTTCTATTCAACAATTGATGTTGATAATCAATGTTAGTAACTTAAATCCTCAACATCAATAGCCCCATTGTTGTAGTCCAACCATATATTCACTTGACTACCACTGTGTTATTTCATTCACTAATAACATTGATACAACAATCATCAGAAAGGTCGATGCATGTCGTCGACTCCAAAGTTGGCACTCACCAACTTTGTCATCTATTGTTACCAAAAACGTTGACAACCGACATTGCCAATAAAATGACGCACACCATCATCACAATGTTGTTGTTGGCTGACTTCATTATTCATTGTCACCAATAATATCAACGCACAAGTATTGCTAATAAAGCTGGTGTATATCATCAATACAAACACAAACACTCATCGACTTCATCACATGTTGTCATCAACAATGTCGACACACCTTATCATTGGTCATCACCAACAACATCGACACACCTTATCACTAACATACCATATGTAGATTGTAAGCATCAACCCAGATGACCACTGATCAAAACAAATAAAATTATATAAGAGTTAAGACCATTTTTTAAAAAAGAAAACTTACTAAGGTTAGACACTACCCACCAAAAAAAAGCTTTTACAACAATGTTGAAGGGCTATACATGCGGTTTTAACTACTAAGAAAGAGCTTGCAGCGGTTCTAAAACTGTGTGATTGTAATGTGATGGAAAGTTCTTTGGCAGTAGTTTTGCAACATATGTGGTAGAAGTTTCATGATGCTTAAGATTGCAGTGTTAAAAATCGGTGCTTTGCATGATAAAATTGTCATAACTTGTCAAAATTTATAATTTTCAACAACTTTTTAATAGAAAATTTTTTAAAAGCAGCAAAAAAACAGTGATCAAAAGTTATCCTCAGTAGTGAGCGCCTTTTCTAAAATATAAAACCTCCCAAAAATATAATAAATAAAATCATAAGACCAATTAAATCAACGAAGATGATAGCTAAATATATGAGAATGTCTCACAATAAATCATCACCAAACAGCAAGAATCATTTCAATTTTACTAATTATAAAAAAAAAATTAAAAAAATAATCGGTATTAGCATTTGAGATAATTTTCTTATAACTTTTTAAATAATATTTTTAGTATAATTTTTTTTTGAAAAAAACTTTCGAAAGGAAACATTAATAATATGATAACCGCTTCCCCATAATTTCTTTCCATTTTCAAGTAATTTACTAATTTTACCCCTTATTAAGTTATTATCGTTTGATTGCGTGCTTGCAACGTTAGTATTCTATTAAATTAATTCAGCTTAATAATTTTTTTAATTGTTTTTGTCATTATTCACTTTCATTTTTTAATATTTATTTTAATTCGGCATTTTAAATCTTTAAAGCTTAGTCGCACTTTATCTGCAACTAATATGAATCCTTTTGACTTTTAGATTTTTTTTTTTATTATTTTTTTTCTCACAAAAAAAAAAAGAGAATTCCAACACACATTTAGGAGTTTTTTTTTTAATATATATAACACTTAAAACTATTGTTATTACATATCTAACATCTAAACTATCATATTTATTTATATATCACCAAAACAACATTCTTAACGTATAAAATACCACTCTGTTACGTTCATGTCAAAACCCCACTCCGACCTCTACAATCTGATTCTTTTTCCCAACTGAAAGCTTCTCCGACGACCCATCACCTCTTCTTCGCTCGAGCAGGTACTCATGTCTCTCCACTCTCCTTCTCGCGATATTCTTTCTTGTGCCCTGCCTTTCCTATGCCCTAGGTCTTCTATGCAAGACCAAGGAAGGAAGTACCGCTAGGAAAAAAAAAATGAAGTACCACTAGCGGCTTCATTTTTTTGACTTCTTTGATTGTCATTACATGCAAGATGCTTCTTCGTGTGCTCTATACCGTATTCATTATTGACCAAACTATTTTTATAAGACCTTGGTGTCAATCTAATGGATTGATTGCATCACAATAGTTTTGCAATTTTTAATAGAAATTAAATGAGTTATAACCAAAAGGTCGACTAGAGCTGGAATAAAATCATCATTATAAGTCCAATAAAACTATGAAAACTAAATATAAAACCATCATTATAAGTCAAATAACAAGAATGGTGAAATTCACATCTCAGTATTTCAATTCAAAGATCAGATTAACATCAGGTAAATCTCAATATTACTTCCTGACCCTTTCAGGGAGCAGTACAATCAAGAAATGTATAACACACATATCTTTCACCCTCCAACCAAGCAAACCAAAAGGAAATAATTAAATTTTCACCAGCTCCCTCATATGATCATGTTTTTGCCGAAACATCGCCAAAGGAATCTCATGAACCTACACAATAAACAAATGAATAGGATAACATAACACCAACTAGTCAAATTCTAGTAACTCCTCGGTTTAGGGCACGAGAAAGGCAAGGCATGGTAAAGAGTATCAAGAGACTAGGATGAGAGGCGTGAGTACTTGCTCGAGCGTCGAAGAGGCAAGGGAAAAGGATCGGGCTACCTAGGGTTGGGGTAGAATTTTGATGGGAATGTAACGAAGTGGTATTCCAGATGTTAGAAATGTTATTTGGGTGTTATACAAGTAAATATGAAAGTATATGTGTTAGGTATGTAAAAATAATAGTTTTAGATATTATGCATGTAAAAACCTATTATTTATTTCTTTTCTTCTAAGCTTAAAGTAATATATAACTTATCATCAGTAATATCAGTCCCTATAAAGGAGTAATAAAAGATCTAATACAATTAAATTTTATATGCTATAAGTATTTATAATTATAGGAGTGAGAATATATTTATTCTACTTTTTGTTTTGAATTATTTTAATTTGTTAATATTTTTTTTTTATTGCATTAAAGTTAGTAAGAATTGTTAATGTATTATATATTATTTCTTTTTAATTTTTTAGAGGGGACATTTAGGCTAATTAAGACAAATTCATACACACATCACATTCACAAGACTCAAACCCAAAACATCTTAGTTGATAATCAAAGCTCTCAACCAGTAGAACACGACGAGCTACGTAAATATATTCTTTTTATGTGAGAAAATAAATATACAAAAAGTTAGACACCTTCGCTAGTCCTTTTAACCGTTCTCTCATATATATAATGGTATAGGTTTTTTTAGTTCAATTTTAAATTTGATAGCTTCTATTCCCGAATTTTTAGGTCAATTGATAAAAATATAGTGAGATTGGCTATTCATTATTGTTTTACGTCCTTCCTTGAAATGTTGAGCTAATTAAGACAAATTCACACACACATCACATACAAAAGCTTCAAACTCAAAACTTCTTAGTTGATAGTCAAAACTCTTGATACGGCATCAAAAACTCTGGTGTCTCTTATGAATGCTACACCCTCTCACTTATCTGCTTGTGTGCTGGATCTTCGTACAATGCTAAGACGTTAAACTAAATATTTCTCTACCGCCGCGAATACTCCAGGACGCAACAACTCTCAATCAACAAATCAAGATAAATTGCATATTATTGATTTATGTCTAACCGCATTGACCAGTCTGGATATACCAAACAGTTCATGAAGAGTCATCCATCAAATACAAGTCGTTCAATAAATGCCTAGGAGTCCACAAAAGATAGTTGAATAACACAAGTCCACCATCGATATACGAACAACAATATGAATTACTTCCTATTGCATAAGTCCTACAATTGAAATGATTTAATACTTATGTCTTGTTTGGGACATCTTTTCGATTGCTTTCAAAATCAAAATTTTAATATAAAAATTATAGTTCAAGAAATTTTTGTATTGTACTAAGAAGTTGCTTTAGAAAACAGTAAGAACAATATTCTGAATCAGCTTTGTTTGGGATTACTTTTTTAATGCTTCTTAACGCAATTCCTTGGAAACAACTTTAAGAAGCAGAAAGAAAGCCATCCAAAATGAAACCGAAGTCTTAGATGATAGTGCTCTTATTTGTAGCAACTTATGATATTGTCATCAATGTACTCCTACGAGATAATATATGAGGCTCCAAGTGTGAATTACAAAAGTAATTCAAACTAAATTCAGTAACGATTCTTACATTGATTAACAATCAGATTATTTCTATTAAAAAATTAACAAGAACATATTATTTATTCATAATATTTTTTGGGAAAATTTCGAGGCAAAAGTCCATGTATTAAAAACAAAGGTCAGTTACATATAAAAGTGTAAATCAAAACAAGTAGAAGAATAGAACAACATGAAAGAAAGAATAAAACCAACAAAAACCACTTTCCCCAACAAAACAAGCGGGGACAACATTGGTCAAAGATAGGACTCGGTAAATCAAGGCCAACACCCGATCATCAAAATTGATTAGAGTTGAAATGGAGGCAGAAGCAGTCATCGAAATTCCTAAGTTGCCACAGGGCTTGCTAAAACATAAGCAGTACGCACAGGGGCCATTGCATAGGACCAACAAAAAACCCAAACCATAAACAACAAGCCAACAAGGTGTTGCCTTGTTCATCATTATCCAAAAATTAATATTGAAATAGCTCGATAAAACAAAAACAACAAAACCCAAAACCCGAATTAAAGAATCCAAGCTATATAGCTTTTCCACTATTTTGTTTTTCTTATCATAATCATAATTTTATTTGACTATTACAATATTTTCTTGTTTATTTCTCATTGCTTTTTATATTTTTGTGAGGAATAGCTATTTTTTACACCATGAAATGCTAATGTATGGTAGTTTTAAGAAAGCAGTTGTTTAATTAAAAAAAAAAGAGTATTTTTATAATACTCACAATAATTTAAAAAAAAATTTATCCAAAACAACTTCACAATCACATTTGTAAAATACTGCAATAGTCTGAAGTAAAACCTTCGTTAGCTCCATTTGACCATCTGGCTTTCGTAAATCAGAAATGCTAAAGGTTGTAGTTATGACCACGCAAAAGAATAAATATTATAAAAATTAGAATATATATATATATATATATATACTTTTATTTAATTTGATAATAATTATTGCAATTCTAATTTTCTAATAACCTACATTTTATGCACATGAAGTTATATTATTTTTAAAATTTAAATAAATAAATAATTTCGCTGATTCGATTTAAGGTCGAGCATATTAGAAGAATAGCTGGTCCGAAATTGAATCGGTTCGATGTCGAGCCGATTTCTCTAGAACATCTATATATATCTTTCAGCGTTGCTCGGATCGTTCACGTCCTAGTCCGGCTTCCACTTCTATAATGCTAGGTTAGCGAGCTTTCCCGCGTCTCCAAATTTTCCAGTAAGCCATCTTCATCTCCATCCTTATAATGCTTCTAGATCTCCCAATTCTTATTTCGCCCTCTGAAAAATAATGCAGATCTGAATCGCAACACAAAGAAGCAAAGATCAAAGTAATAAAGTCCTCCTCATCGGACGACGACGATGAAGGAGAAGATCATCAGGTTAGTTCCTATTGTTGGATCTTCGATCTATCCTTTGCGCTTTTCTATTTGGTTACAAGTTAGGGCAAGCGGATTTATGTTATTGAACTCCCTGGATAGGGGATGTATTTTTTTTTTAAATGAAATACTAGGACAGGGGATGTATATGGCATGAATGCTCCAGAATTAGGTTGGTGATAAGCCATGGATTTCTATGGGTTCGTAGATCTGATTTTTGTGCGTCTTAAAATTGGTTGATTAAGATGAAAATGATGGAAGGGGAAGATATCAATGTGCCATCAGCGTCATGAAAATATGGCGATCTGCCATATGAACAATGATGTTTATGATTCTGGTAGAATTTGAATCTCGGATCCTTTTCAGGGTCTTTGATGCATTGGGATGCTGAAGGAGTTTATCCTGGTCTTTGCGGCAATGATAGCATGAGAAAGAAACTGTAGTGCTGCTGGAGCAGCTAGCAAGCGATGCCGATCTTTTGAATTATCAGAGGTTTGTAAACTGTCTTCACCAGTTGGCACTGCCACTACATGATGCCCTCTCCATTGTGACTGTGATGGGAATTGGAAGATGAGGTTGGATCGATCGGTCCCTTTGTTTTTGGCGCCAGTGTTTGGTTGATACTTTTTTTTCTAAGTTTTACCCGTTATTTCTGTGAAGTCAACGTGAATGGTGTTCTTTTGGCGTCGCTACGCTTGAAATTCTACTTTCCGGTGACTCCATGAGGTATTGCCATTTCCTCTGCTCTTAATTGGCCGCATAATATTTTGTGTTTTGCTTCTTAAGGGCGATATTAAGATGGATTCTATCCGTGAAATAAATAGGGTCTGAAGACTTGCTTCTTATTGTGCAGTAAGGCTAATTGATGCCGCAACACCTGCAAGCTGGAAACAAGCAGAAGAACAAGCAAGCAATAACAGAGAACTATAGTGATTCTATTGATCAAATTGTAAAAAAATGCCTTCCTCTCTACAGGAACTACTCATATACTATCAGAATATTCATATTCTACTAAAAGTGTAAAAAACAGAAAGTAGCTTTTTGTACTATATAACTAATAAAGGATAAAGGTGATAGTGGAGATCAAACCAGCAACGGCCTAAGCAGAAAAAAGGTGAGATGTTACCCAGCTCACGATAAGGCTATAGTGCACCGCATCACTAATGCTATCTCTATGCTGATGTCTACTTTGTTATCAATTTAACAAACACGCCAACCAAATTAATGATCTAATTACCAACCCATAAGTCAAAATATGTTTTCCATAGGTTTTACTCCGATCTATTGCATTTATTATAATCTTTTTGCATATTCTTACACCCATCAATGTTTATCTCATTTCTCAATTCGTTTGTTTTTGTCGAGGTTCATCTGTTGATCTCGAAGGCTCTCCACCCATTGTGCTAGACTACTCAGATCGACCACATAAATTCGATTCCATGTCAATTGACTGGTATTGGCTATTCCGACAAATGGGTATACTAATTTAAGCTCCATGCGCACACTGGAAATTATATTCTATGTTACATTGGTAAAATGCAGCGTAGATGGCTACATGAAAGCCAAAGGATATGACATTATCACAGAGGGAAGTCATCATGTCATGTCAACATGGAGATTCATGATTCCGATGGTCAACCATCCCCATAGTTGTTTTTATTCCCCTAGTTTGTAGTTTCGAACCTATCAAATTAGTTATATTTTAGCTTTTATCTTTTACTCCTATGATTACTATTGTGTAATGTAATATGATTCCATTAACTACTCTTATCTCTTTACATGACCAACCCTCGCTCTCTCTAGATATGATCAAAAGTTCCTTACAATTTTTTTTTTATCTATGGGATCTGAAAAAATTCCAAGTGAAACAAGGGGAGATCCAATCCAAGCAAGAGTTCTTCTTTTCTGGCTCATCAAGGCAAAGTGATTCCAATCTCAATCCTATATCTGTTTCTTATTCTCTTCTCCTAATACTATCCTTGTACAAAAGCCTTGATAATTCTTAATCGACCAAACAATCTTAGTTCTTCCCAGTAATCCAACCCATAGAATCAAAGCCAAGCTCATTTACTCTTAAAATCTCCAACTCGAGAGTTTCCTCTTCCATTCTCCCTTTCATCCAAAGATTGATTAAGGTAAATTCATTCCATCACGTAAGTTTTGGATCATCTTCATGCTTCATAGTTCGCTGCACTGATTGGCGTAGTTGCGTAAGACGAAGAACATGGAAAAAGTAAAAAAGAATTGCTAAGGAATAATTTATGTTAGGATTTTTGTATATCAGAAGTGTTTCCTCTTTACATCATAATGATTAATATAGTAGAAAGTGCCTCCACGCAGCAAAGCGGCGTGGTGTTTGTAACCAACTATGCTTCAGTACTATGACTATTATCAAAGTACCAATGACTGTAATCAAAGATAAATAAAGCCTAAAGCAAATAGTAATATGACTCATTGGATCGGGCACAATCATTGCATCTGAGTTATCAAAACTCTCCCACTTCTGAAGAACTCGACTTGGTGCGGTTATGGCGGTTTGACGGCGATGGTCGGATAATTGTGGCATGACATCAGAGGTTTGGTGATGACCGTTTGATGTAGTGGATCGTCGGAAGATCAAACCTGCAAGAAGGATTTCAAGGAGTTCCCAATCCAGGGAAGAAGAAGAAAGCTTTTCAAGCTTTAAAAGGTGTATATATCATTCAATGAATCTCATTCCTTACAATCTCTTGAATATATAACCATGGTAGAAGACTCTAGAATCATACACCTAAGCTAATAAAGGATAAACTATTCCTAAGGATTTACTCTATTAAAGATGTTCCTACATCAAGAAGACTCTAGAATCATACACCTAAGCTAATAAAGGATAAACTATTCCTAAGGATTTATTATACTAAAGATGTTCCTACATCATACTCCCCTTGCGTCCAAAAGGCCTGACTCCGTCGAGGCGCATTGTCTGACGGAAGATAGCAATCCTCCCGGATCGAAAATTTTGTTCTTAATATTTGTTGCAACTTTTTCATAGGAAGGACTTGAAAGTTGTTTTACATCTGTCATTTTTCCATCTTCAGGCTCAACAAATTTGGGATCCCAACCTTCGGTGACATTTCGTCGAACACCTTGTGATCCTTGCATTGGATAAACTTTGTCGGGCTGCCCAAAGATTATTTGCACACCTGCAATGAAGACATCTTCAATACCAACATTATAGTTTTCATAATATTCATTAGATGTGGGTTTCCTATAGATTGCTGTAGCAACTCCCTTTAGTTTGTCCTTCTCGATAGTGACAAGATCCCAACCCATCGATTTTGTAAGAGAACTCATTGCCTTCCATATTTCTAAATCTTCCTTTAGTTTCTGATAAACTGGTGTGGCAAACCACACGAAATATCCACCAGGACGCAGCACCCAATTGAGCTCAAGAAGAAGCATGCCTCCATCAGCATGCCATGGAACACGACACCTAGCACAATGGGTGAAGTCAAAAACTTTGTTGGGGAATGGAAGTTGTTGGGAGCTCATCACTGCAGATGTTGCACGAATGCCTCTCTCGAAATCAAATAGAACTTGAGCTTCACGCTCATCCTTTGGTGTAAAAGACATGGTGATTATATCTCGACTAAAGATACATCCACCGAATCTTGCCTCATTGCTAGGATCTCCATTGTTGATTCCAACCTGCTGCTGCTCGTATTCATTCTCTTTCCACCCCTCATTCAGAGAGTGGATTTTCTGGGTCTCAAGTAGCCTATTGTCGCCGCTCTTTCTTGGATTTTCCCACTGGTTATCAAAAAAGGATAGACTTGTGTCAGGATTGATGATTCTATCATCACTTTTGCTGGTATGGGTTTCATCATCTTCCACCTCTGACCCTGGCTGGTTTTCAAATCTCCCAACAACCTCTATCTGTTGCTCCGGTTGGTGGCTATTGTTATCATTTTCCTCTTCTACTTGCTCTTGCTTCTGCTCCTCATTCTGCTTCTTCTCCTTTGATGTAGTTGATCGGTTGTGAACCGATGTCTGGTCCCAAGAGAAAACAGAGGCGGGATTGAAATCATGCATTTGGACAATAGATCTCCTTTGACGGGGTAGAGGGTGTCCCGCGAATCGATCTCCTTCGACGGATTCGGAACAGGCGGCAAAACTGGAATCTGGTCGTGAAAGATCGAGTTCGCGCAGAAGTCGGGTCGGCGAATCGGAGGCTGGGTGTGCGATCCGGAGACGCTTGAGAGTCTGCTTGAGAGTCTCTAGATCCCTGGCAGGCTCTTGGATTCCTCGCATCCGGAGACGCTTTTCGAGTTCGCCGTAGAGAGAGCCGAGCCGCTTCGGCTCAGGGAAGAACTCCTGGGTTTCGAAACTCCTTTGAAACAAGCAAGGCGTCAGACGGGGAGGCTCGGGTTTAGTATTTGGAGACTTCCTTGATTGGTAGTCCTGCTTCGGACGTCTGAAACCCTCTTCAGAAGGTATCGGAAATGGATTCTGTGAGTCGAACGGAGACAGATCTCGGTAAACGCGAGACTCGGAAGTCGATCGGCGGATGATGTGTGCGGGAGTCTGGTCGGCGGAGGCCTGGTCGGCTGCTGTCGGCGACGTCGGAGTGGCGGCAGGTCGTCGGGGTTGGGAGTTTTGGCGGCTAGCGGGTTTGGCTTGAGCAGTGGTAGCGGCGGTTGTTTCATCGGGTAGGGAATCGCGGGATTGAACTGGGATCTGGAGCGAAGGTGGATGCGTGGGTTCTGAAGGCGGATCTGCTCGGGACATGGTGAATTGATTTTCTTCCATGAAATCGAAATCAGCGAGCGAAGGATCGCGTTGGAGCTGTGTTGGTTGTTCGTGCGTGTTGGAGGAACAGAGGAGCGACGAGGCCGGTATGGTTGCCGACCTGCTCATAGTTCTCTCCACCGAATGCATGAATTTAACACATAAATCATCCATTCGATCAAGTGATGCAATCACTTGAGCTACCCAAAGGGGTTCATGACGTCGATCGTCGTCAACCGTCCATCTCTTTCGGTGGCGATCTTCGTCGACCGCCCATCTTATTCGGCGTCGATCTTCGTCGACCGCCCTTGTTCTACGGCTTCGAACGTCGTCGACAGCCGACCTTCTTCCGCAGTTCATCGATCTTCACAAGCTCCAAGCTCTGATACCAACTGATGTAGTGGATCGTCGGAAGATCAAACCTGCAAGAAGGATTTCAAGGAGTTTCCAATCCAGGGAAGAAGAAGAAAGCTTTTCAAGCTTTAAAAGGTGTATATATCATTCAATGAATCTCATTCCTTACAATCTCTTGAATATATAACCATGGTAGAAGACTCTAGAATCATACACCTAAGCTAATAAAGGATAAACTATTCCTAAAGATTTACTCTATTAAAGATGTTCCTACATCAAGAAGACTCTAGAATCATACACCTAAGCTAATAAAGGATAAACTATTCCTAAGGATTTATTATACTAAAGATGTTCCTACATCACCGTTGAGCAGTGTCAGTTTAGCGGTGGCAATTAGTCAAAGTGGTCAGGTATGTTTTAAGATTCTTCATGTAGAGAATTGACGCCTATTTGTTATTCTACCAAGCGATACTTTAGTACATTTAACTAAAAACCCCAAAGCACTCCATTGGACAACTTATATTGATTCTCTTGATTATGAATATTTCTTTCTGCATTTATGTGTCTTAATGACCAAAGAATTGAGTGATTTTAGGGTTTGTTGGTTTCCTCTTATTGAAAAGCTCAATTTGCTTATAAGCATGCCAAATCCGGATATTATTTTGTTCTTCAATTAGTTTCACTAAGTTTTAAACTACTCTTTAAGTATTTGATTCAGGCTCATTTTGTTTTGGATGTAAACAGTTTTGTTGGTAGACATTCAATTCGACTATAAATTTGTTTCAATTAGAGTTCAAATAGCCCTTAATTTTTAATCCTGAGAATTTTCAATTCTAAGATTGCATTGAAATTCATGCTCGATGATTAAATGTATTTTCTGGTAATACATCAATTCTAGTGATGCGGTTTTGGATTATCTTACACGATTTGAAGGATCAAGAAGGAAAGTTGGCAAGCTGCAAAGATACGCCTTTGTTCGGTAAACTCTTTCAGCTGATCTATTTTCAAAAGTTTAAATCAATCATAAATTTAATATGTACAAATATGTAATAAATTTACGTTATTGGGGATGCAAGTAAAACACTGAAATGAAAAAAATAAGAAAAAACGGAAAGTAAAGGCACCATGATTATCCATTTTGTTCTAGAATACTCTTTTTTTGCTCTCTAAATAGGAGGTCTTGTAGAAGAAGAAAGCATTGAATGATATATTTTAGTCTTTGAAGTTTTGAAAAGCTCTCTTCCTCTTCTTCCCTGGATTGGGAATCTCAAATCCTTCTTGCAGGTATCATCTTCCGACGATCCACTACATCACATTGCTTCTCTCCTCTTTTGCACTATTCTCTTACACTGAACAAAAGAGAAGACAAATAATAACACCAAGGGATGCCACCCTTGAGAAAAACGAGAAGAACGAGAAAGAAAAATATTTAGTCCGCCTCCAAGCGCTGCAACACTAATTTGAAGCATCGTGGTGCTCAAATCTCTAATCCCGATCCGTCTAACGATGTTGCGATGCTCAAACCAACAATGCCGCGGCACTACACAGTGTTGCGTTGCCAATCTAAAGCGTTTTGGTGCTCTCCGCTCTCTATTATTTCTCTCAATAAACTTTGCAACACCTGGGCATTGAGGAACATAGCACTAGGGTGTTCGGATACATAGCATAGGGGCGCTCGAGTATATAGCGCTTGTGCAAGAACGAAGAAGGTTAAGCACTTGAATTCTGGTTTTAGTTTGTCATTTCAGAAATTGACTTTATCAACTAAGGGGATGATATTCATAGCTCTTTAGGAAGAAATAAAATAATCCTAATTATATGAAAAGATTATTTTGATCCCTCAAATTTGTACAAAGGAATTGAAAATTGAAATGATTCTAAGATTTGAGGGATCAAAATAATTATTTAATATAATTGGAAGATTATTTTAATATTTCATAAAAAAATTATTGGATCATTTTTGTCTTTTTTTCTATTTCATATTATGCATATAGAATTTTTTTTTTTGATTTTTTTTTAGCTGCAGAAGTTCGAGACCATGCCATGCTGTTCCCTTTTGAAATCGAACCACGCTAATGATATCAACGGTAATGCCACTTTGATATTCAAGACTCCCTTTTTGGTCTTGAAATAACCTTTTTCTGTAGTTAATCTCAGAATCTCTGACGAAATGAAATAATCATTTTTTTATCATTTTTTTTTGTTTTAAAAAAAGTATAAGAATAAAGAATAATGTCACCCAAATAGTCAAGAAAAAGAATAATGTAAACGTGATATGAATAGAGGGCTCTTTATTTATTTTTTTAAATCAAGTCATTAAAATTTTGAAAAATTTTATTCTGAGTGCAGATTTATTAGGAAAAAAATTTGGCATTAGGGAAAAAGAATGACCTCTTATTTATTGAGTACCTTTGGAGTCAATGGAGTCTGTTCAGCTTTAATTAACATTTAATTATTTTGATTTGAAGAAAAAGAAGTATATCAACCTGAGCATTTTGCGGGTAAAACTCTTATTAATCATAAACCTCACAAACTATATCATATGGCTTGTGATTATTTTAGGCATCAAAGTTTCCTGTCTAGTATATGCATGATATAAGCAACTTGCATGCAACCCAAATCGTTAGGCCCTGATTTGGGAACTTTTATTAGGTCTTCTGACCGGACGTAGCTCTACGTTTGGTTCTCACTGAGTTACTCGGTATTTGCTTGGTATTGCTTGGCAATAACAAGAAATACCGCTATGAGAAGACCAATACCGAGTAATACCGAGTTTTTTCTAGAAAAAACTCGGTATTGCTCGGTAATACTCGGTATTGCTCGGTATTTGTCTTCACATAATGGTATTTCTCGTTATTGCTGGTATTGCTTGATATTTGCTCGGTATTTCTCGTTTTGTGCATGCTACGTAACGTGATCTCAGTGCCGGCCGAACGTAGCTCTACGTACGTTCACCGGACCAAATAAAAGTTCCTGATTTGGAGTAATGATTTGGTATTTACAGTATTTAAACTTCTTTTACCCTTAATTAAGTTCTTGTTTCAAGATGTAACTTTTTTTGTTTCGTGCTGAAATGAATTATCTCACGTCTTTCGGTTTTTTTTTTTTTT